GAGTACTGCAGTGTGGACAGGGGCGTGGAGTGAGTACTGCAGTGTGGACAGGGGCGAGGGGAGAGTACTGCAGTGTGGACAGGGGTGTGGGGTGAGTACTGCGGGGGTGTGGACTGCATAGGGGCTTGGGGGGGAGTACTGCGGGGGTGTGGACTCCTGCACAGGGGCGTGGGAGGGGGTGGGTGAGTACTGCGGGGGTGCCTCAGCAGAGAGGTGCCTGGTGCAGGAGTTCAGAATCGGCCCACAGCTGGCTTTCCACTCTGAGCAACTCTTTTTTTCAAAAGATGGTACCAAGATCGACCTCTTCATGTAACAACATCTGTTTCTGTCTTCCCCCCGTATTCCTCTCCACTCCCCTCCCTCTCCCAGGTACGGCTCTTACCTGGTGTGGCGAGACCTGGGCGGCTTCACTGAAGATGCTCTGGTTCCGCTCGGCCTGTATGGGGCACAGCTCGCATTGAACTGGGCCTGGACGCCCATCTTCTTCGGGGCACACAAACTGAAGCTGGTACGGTATGGCTTCCACTAACAGTGACCATAGCAGTGCAGCTCCATACCGTGACTCTTGTGCCTCGCTCGTCTTGAGTGTGTTTTCTGCAATACATAGAAAAAACTGAAAACTGCAGGTCGTGCTGAATCGGCGTGTGTGATTCTATGAAGAAGGCAAGCACCGATCGTGTTCCTCTCTGTCTCAGTCTTCCCCTGATCTCCTCCTCTATCACTTCCTCTTTTTGTCTGTCTGTTTCCTGTAGTGTCAGCCCTCGGATAAATTAACCAGTGGGGAAAGGGGAGTCCGTTATTGAAGAATGTCCATTAAAACAGGAATGACGTTTTTTTCAGCCCCAGAACACACTATAAGTTAAAAATATATATATACACTGTATACTGGATATACTTTCAAGATTTATTGATTTATTCTTTAGCATAGCATCAACAAAGTCATGGACAATTATTCCTGTGCCTTTTTTCTCATAAAGATACAAGCTCGTTATTTCATGAAATTGAACATTTCGTAAATATTCTGTATAAAATTCACTAAAGCATATGAAACCCAAACAACACCCTTTGTAGGTTAATCGTCAACCCCTAAAGGGCACCATTGATATTCCTGAATTTGAAATCTATGTAGTATTTATTTTACCTCCTTTTCCCACAGCTTTTTTTTTTTGCATACTGTTAGTATGTTAGTGTATTTGTGTGTTTTAAAAACAACTATTATGAGCAGTTTGCCGATCCCCCTGTCTCAGGCAGGGTAAGTTCCGCGATAATGCCGATGTTTCCGAGCCCTGCCTCTTCTCCGCTGCGCCCCTGCTCCGAGTGGCCGAGCAGAGGGGCGCTGTGTCAGCGGCCGCTGTGCCATGTGTCTCCCCTGCAGGCCCTGATCGAGGTCGTGCTGCTGACGGGCACGGCAGGCGCCACCGCGCTGTCCTGGTACCCCGTCAACAAGACGGCAGCGTTGCTCATGGTGCCCTACCTCATGTGGCTCTGCCTGGCCACCGGCCTCACTTACTGCATCTGGAGGGACAACCCCGACAAGCAGGACTGAAAAAGGGGTGTCCGAGCCCCTCCCTGCACAATGGAGGAGGCTTCTGGGAAGTGCCTGCGTCACCTGTGCCAGGGCTGCACAGCGACAACAGAGGGTCGTCTTCTCCCTCTCTCATTTTGTATGTACTTTTGGAGTTAATAAAATAGTTTGAGATTAATGTATGTCTTGTCAGTATTTCTGTCCTTGATGTGTTGTTTTAACTGTCTGAGCTTTTGTCAGGAACTGTGTGCTCTCACATGGTTTAAACCTCTCGCCCATATCCCGCGGTGCTCGCTCAGCGGTGGTGGTCTTCAGCCGAACGGCCGCAGGGGCAGAGGGAGTTGCCTCCTGGGAGCGTTTCCACAAGCTCCAGTCCAGGCTTTCATTCCAGCTGGGTTTACCTGATGCGTGTGGCATGTGACACAGCAGGGCGTGGAGATTGTGGCTGGAAAGAAAGTCTGGACGGAGGCTGGCCCGGAGCCGAGACCCAGTGCTCTTGAGTGGGGGCAGTTGAACCGGTCTCTTCCACCTCGCTCCAGCGTCTTTGGCCCAGCTGACCCACAGCAGGGTCCGTGAGGTCATTGAGAGTCAATCAAACCTGCAGCCCTGGTCCTGGAAAGTCCTGTGAGCTTTATTCCACCAAGCTCAGTTCCTCACAGTTGACCCAGTGGAAGACGTGAAGCTCCGTTTGCAGACTTTAATCTGGGGGTGACTTCACGCTCGAAAAGCCAGAGAGGTCAGGACCTGACTGAACCACACTGACCCAGCCTCCTGCGTGATCTCACGAGTGACAGGCGTGTCGACACTGTGGGCAAGTGTAGAGGGTAAGTGGGGTGCCTGGCTGTGCCTGTTAGCTCTTGGAGGAAGGGCAGGGTGCAGTCGGAGCTCTTATCAGCCTGCCTCAGAGAGGGAGGGGCTGTTGCCATTTACTGCTCCTTATCAGACAGCACAGAGCAGCGCTGGAGCTCCAGCAGGGGTCCAGATATTGATAAGTGAAGGGTGTCAGGCTCCAGCAGGACCACAGAGCGTCCAATTTAGTTTAAAATACCTGGTCTAATTCACAGGACAAACTTAATCCAAAAACTCCATCCAAGGTCAAAGGCATTCTGCTACTATGCTGCAAGTACACACATCAAACACTGATTCTTAAGTGTAGGGCAAAGAAACTAGTGATACTTTATTTAAATGTGATGTTTAATTTTTAAAAAATGGCATTACAGTATACACTCATCCGCACGCTACAGTATGTACAGGAGCTGTGTGAGGTCGGGGTTACTCCTTTGCACCCTCTTCTGGCGACTTGGAGGAAAAGCGCGCCATTAATTTCTTCCACATCCCTTTCTTCGCATCTTCCATTTGCTGCAAACTGTCTGCAGAGAGAGGACAGACCTGTCAGCCCCAAATCAGGATTCCTCAGACGAACTGAGGATGCGAGAACAGCGCTCTCTGGCTGGAGGCTCTGTGACTAATCTTTCCCATGTTTTTTTAAAAGGGGTCTGAGTAAGTCACCTTTTACAAGATAATAATAATAATTGCTTACACTTATATAGCGCTTTTCTGGACACTCCACTCGAAGCGCTTTACAGGTAATGGGGACACTCCTCCACCACCACCAGTGTGCAGCCCCACCCGGATGATGCGACGGCACCCATAGTGCGCCAGAACGCTCACCACACACCAGCTATCAGTGGGGAGGAGAGCAGAGTAATGGAGGCAATTCATAGATGGGGATTGTTAGGAGGCCATGATAAGGACCAATGGGAAATTTGTCCAGGACACCAGAGTTAAGTTAAACCCCTACTCTTTTAGAGAAACACCCTGGGATTTTTAATGACCACAGAGAGTCAGGACCTTGGTTTTACATCTCATCCGAAGGACGGCGCCTGTTTACAGTATAGTGTCCCCGTTACTATACTGGGGCATTAGGACCCACATGGACCACAGGGTGAGCGCCCCCTGCTGGCCCCACTAACACCTCTTCCAGCAGCAACCTTAGTTTTTCCCAGGAGGTCTCCCATCCAGGTACTGACCAGGCTCACACCTGCTTAGCTTCAGTGGGCTGCCAGTTGTGAGTTGCAGAGTGATATGGCTGCTGGCAAAGATGACTGTGTGAAGAAATTACTCCTGTTTTTGAATTCTGTACCTTGGTTTTTGTTCTAAAATGTAAATAAAACACTTATGCGTGTAGTACATCTGTACTACAAACAACAGTAGTAGTAGTACATCTGTAAAGAAACAATTGTAACCAACCACAATTCTCCCAAAACACTAAAAAAGTGTTTAGTGTTCGACGTAGGGCCTGTCTTGTACAAGCGCTGAGACTCGGTTTATCAGTGCCGCAGGGCTAGACCAGAGGGGCTCAAGGGCGCGCGTACCTGTTGCCAGAACCATCCTGCACTCCTCCACCGTCACGCCCGTGAAGCTCGTGTCCTGCGCCCGAGGGAACTGCGCGACCAGGCAGCGCCGGTTACCAGGTAAACCGGAAACCGGAGATATAAAAAAAGACATGCAAGATATCATATAGTTTTTTTTTAAAGGTAAGGTTTTACTTCTCTATAATTTATCGAGTACTGAAGTGGAGAATGGGTTCAATATTTGTCATTTTATTTATATTTAAAAAATGTTTAAATTCTCTAAACAACGTTCAGGAAACTATAAGCTACTTACCTTCTGTTTATAAAAATTAGTATTGATACGAGCTAAACTCTCGTACATCTGATCACACTTCTCTGCATCTGCGATCTGAAAGTAAGAAATACAGCGTAGTTAATTCAATTACTGTGAAATTTAAAATCTATAACAAAAACCTGAATTTAAACTATCGGATATTATTGTTTCTTCTTTTTGAACGTCAGTAATGTCACAGACCATGATTAATACCCAACCTATACATTTACTTGATGAAAATTTAATTGAACAAGTCCACGAACGCTGACGAATCTGCAGATATGAACGAGAAACTAGTTACGACATGACGAATCTGCTGCGGAGAGAAATGAGATACACAACTGATTTGTAGGTTTGTGTTTGTAAAGGTCGACCATTGAATCTCATTTGAATTCCGTTTCAAGTGCACTTCACACCAAAGCCTCCAAATGCTTTAACGAAAACCCGGCGAATCATTTACAGTTTTCAGTATAGTATACTTCACAGACTAAGAAATCTCACACTTTAACAGTTTAGCCTGTATAAACAAATAGCATGCGTTTGAAGTTAGGGTTAAAAGAAGTCGCGGTAAACACTAAAACCGTAGTGAAATGGAGACCGCCGTCATATGTGGTCTTGCTGTTTAGGTCTGTGTACAAAGGTTCGGACACTCTTCACCACGTAATAATCCTACAATATCAAGCAAGCAGAAACACCCCTCTTGCTGAAACGCTTTAACGGCACGATTGACACCCTCCTCTCCCCCCGCTTCACTGTTCGCATGACGCCGCTGGAGCCTCGGTCACTTCCCCTGCCCGCTCACCTGAGTGCTTTCCCCCTCCCGGAAGGCCAGGGCCACCTTCTGCCGCAGAAAGGTGCCCAGGTCCCGGCCCTTCTTGGTCTCGTCTCTCGGCCACTCTTCACACAGCCGGAGGAAGCGGCGGTACCGAGTAGCCGACATGTTCGCTGTCACGGACACGCGCGGCCGGGGGAGGGAGCTGTTTGGTAACAGCGAGCTTATGAAACACTGGAACAAGTAATAGGTTTATTCCATGCTGAAAAAAAGAAGAAAGAAAACAACGTTTCGGCCGTAGAGCCTTATGAAACACTGGCTCTTTACGTGTCAAGAGAGCTGTGGTCCGCGGGGGGCTTTAAGCTGATTTTATGCTGATTTCACGTTATTCTTTAAATAAAAAAATAAAAACATTGTTTTACACAGACATCTAGCTTTCCGCAGAGTTGCGGAAATTAGTTTGAAAACCCCTGGTCTTCAAGGGCTCGAATCATTGGCGGTTTTAGTAGGAAACCTTATTTACCGGTGAACGAGTGTTCCGTATGTGAACAGTGACAGCTGCTAAACAGTGTGTGTTCAGTAGTTGGGTGAGATAAACCGCCATCATCAAAAAGATGTTAGCTATCAAAAATATTCAAAGGAATGCCAAAGATGAGATGTCACTGTCTTTGTCTTTGAGGGTCACTCTCTGTCCACTCACCTCTGACCTGTATCGTATTTTGATCTGTCTGCCTCAGGTTCTGAGTGGGGCTTTGTGCCCAGTACTGCCAGAGCTAATGAGGAGTAAGGAGACAGGGTCTTGGGTCTGCAATCAGACAGAGGGCACACTGGTTCCCAGTAAGTCCTCGAATGGTGTTTTGGTACCTGCACTGGTTTCCAGCACCACTTGATCTGGTCCGTCCTGTTTTTCGAACCCTGGACCTCTGGCAGGAGGAAAGACCCTGACTCTCCGGTGCCACAAAACACGCACCTACACATGAGAGCAGAACACCCCCTCCCCCCACTTTAATACTCACTGTGCTGACAATTCTAACACTGGAAACATATTACACTTTGGTTACAGACGCGTTACAGAGTCTTCATGTACAGCAATACAAATTGAAAAGGAAAAGCCTAACTAAGAAGCTAAGTTTTGTTTTATACTTCAATGATGCAGGTGGCTCAGTAATGGTTAGAGATGCTGCCTCATGGCTGTTGGGTCCCGAGTTTGATTCAGGACTTGGAAAGATTGTGTGGAGTTTGCATGTTTCCCTGTGTCCACGTGGCCTTTCTCAGTGTGCTCCAGTTTCCTTCCACCCTTCAAAGCCATGCTGGCTGGTTAATTTGTTCCTCAAAATTCACAATGTGTGTGTGAATATCTTATAACTCACAGCCATTAATATGAGTAAGTTACGGGGACCCATCTCTCTGCAGTGTGAGTTGCTGGTTTTTAAGGCACCTGTGTACAAATCACTCAAGTCGTGCATGATACAGCGATCAGGTATCTTGGAAGCTTCAGCTCCAGAACTGATGTCAGTTTACTCTATTTTTGAGCTTTTGGCATCTCCCTGTGCCCCCCTTCTCTCCCTGATCTTTTTAACTTGCAGTAAATGAACAACAGACCAACAAGTTCCTCCAAATGGAGTGTATGAGCCAGTCAGAGTCTTTGTCTACAGTCTTTATACATCATCCAGCCCTGGCGAGGTCAGTCTTCAGAAAGCTGCCCGCCAGTGGGAGTCGTCATTCTCCATCGCGGATCTCCTTCAGGATACCAATGAGGTTGTCCAGGCCGAAGATGTAGCCCTGGTCTGGGCCGTCATAGGCAGGGGTGTGGGGGTGGTGGGCGCCGCGGAAGGTGGTGTGGGCGAAATCGATCATACGGACGTCCACACTGGGGGAGGCGGAGGGGCTCTCCACACCCTCGTAGATGAGCAGCAGGGAGCTGGAGTAGAAGCGGTAGGAGCCCTGGCGCTGGAGGACAGCGCGCAGCTGGCCGAGACGCTGCAGAATCGGGCCGATCAGCTCGCGACGCACCCATCGCCCATTGTGCAGGAACTGGCACAGCGCCTGCCGCAGACCCGCCCCCGACAGCGTCCGGCCGTAGTACTTGTTCCGGCACAGGAAGTGGTCAGAGGTCACCTGGAACACCTGTGGGGAAGAGCTGCTGAGGGTCAGCAGAGTCGTGGATGGAGCAGAGAGGAGGAACGTGGCAGGGGAGATGGGAGAGGGGAGAGGGGAGAGGGGAGAGGAGAGAGGAGGGAGGGGTGGGACAGAGGAGAACCGAAAGGGCTGGAGAGGCAGGACCAGACAGACAGACAGAAGGGCAGGGCAGGCTGCTGTGCCTTACTTGCATGCCCCCCAGCCGCAGGCCGAGTGAGGAGGAGGTGCTCTGCTCACACTTCTTCATGTGTCTCCTCTTCTTCTCCTCGGGTGCATCGTCGCCGTGCTGCCGTGTGCCCATCTTCAGGTCCAGCACGCAGGGACGCATGAATGGCCACACCACGTTCTCCAGCAGCACGAACCCTGAGCGCAGCGTCAAGGAGAGAACGCCTGCAGGCCTGGGAGATTGCGATCAGGGTCGATCTCTGAATTTAATGACTCACTGCTGACCTTGTGCTGTTGTGCTGTTTTTCGCAACCAGTTTCCCTTTGTGTTTATTATCTGCCACAGACCCTCTGTGTGTCACTGAACCTGGATTCTGTTGTAGTTTGTTTCTTTTGTTGTTAATCATTTTTGCTGAATGGCTGCTACTGTTACAGTTATTCCGTTGATCTGTCTTGTGTGCAAATCAACTAGTTCTCTGCACAAGGGAATTCTGGACAGATTGGCATTTGCTGTGTGTACTGGTTACTGAGGAAACGTGTGGGGTACCCAAATGTGCTGCATTGCAGTCTCCAAACAGTAGAAATTTAAAGAGCCAGCTGGTGCATCTTTCAGGAATTTCATAAAAAAGGTCACTAGCTGTGCTTATGGTTAAAGGGGATTTCTTTTCATTTTGCTTTTAAAGAAATATCAAGCAGTGTTTCTCAACTGGTCAGCATTGCTCCGGGGACTGGTGCCGACCAGGGGTCGAGAAAGATGAATCTAAGGAAGTATTTGTCTCCAAGCTTTATGGGCCCTGGATTCCATCTAGAATTCCTGATTCTGCTGCCTCAGACTCGGACTTGCATGACTGCTCCTGGCAAGTGATGTGAAGAGGCAGGATACTCCTGTCCATGAATGGTAAGACCTGACTTTCCTATTGTGCTCTTGTTTCTTCTGTCTAAAACTGCTGCTGGTTTCTGAGTCTGTCAGCCTGAAAGGCAGCAGTGTTTGGTCTTTGTTCTGGTTTGACATAATAATAATAATAATAATAATAATAATAATAATAATAATAATAATTCCTTACACTTGTGATGCGCTTTTCTGGACACTCCACTCCATGAGCAGTGGACAGAGTGAGCGGCAGTTCAGTGCCTTGTGTTGTGTTTCTTGCAGTTTGTCCTTGCTCACGATACTCCATGTTGCTCAGGACACATGTCGGAATGATTCTGCAGGAGGCCTGGATGCTTACAGACCTCCAGGAATAGACTTCCTGAGCTGAAATTGTCTGACAGCTAGTCCAAGCAGTGGGGCTTGTGGGATTGATGACCACAAGGGGCTGCTGTTTCCCTTTGAGTGATAATCAGTTCTTGCAAAACAGAAGCATAGGGAAAGTGAAAGGGAGACGATTTAACAAGAACACAAGAGTCGTAAAAGATACAGTGCAGCACGTTGGAGGCGCCCTGAGAGGACATGCGGGAGAGCTGCGCACGGTGGCAGCGCAGGCCCCAGGGGTTGTGGCTGTTCTGCTCTGAGAGCTTGCTCTCATTCCCATTGGGGTCCTCCATGTGGAAAGGCACGTCAGAGCCGAGCCCCCTCCCAGTGCAGCCCAGAGTCCTGGGAGGAGAGAAGGGCACAGTCACCAGCTTTACCCCACCCAGTGGTTCCTGGATATAATTTACTTGTGAACTAAATTAAGTGGTTCCTGGACATCTTTTGTGCTCTAGAATTTTATGGAAATTTGACTCAGCTGTTTACATTCTTTTAAGCAGTTATTACTGCTATGAACTGGGCCTAATGGGACTGGAGTGCTGATGTGTTTGTGAGACATGAAGGACCAGAGATTCCCCCAGCTGAAAAAACTGCAGGGTTGTATTTCACAGTGACTTTGTTAGTGTTGGATTATCACAAAAGAAAACAATGAGTGAGAGCACTTGATTGAGCTCTTCTGATCTGGTCGTGTTCAGTTTGTGTTATAGTCAGAATAAGATCCTGTTCTGTTAGCTCTGCTGGTGTACTGTACCTTAGCTGTGCACCTCTGTCATTTTCCTCTTCTGTAGCTCACCTGTCATGGTGGGATCTGTCCTGCAGGGGGATCTCTCTGATTTCCTGGTGATCAGGACTGCTGGCCTTGGTTTTCTTGTTCCTGTGGGCCTTGGGAGATGGCGGAGCTGGGCTCTGGTTGTCCTTATGGGGAGAGGCCACCAGTACCAGTTGCCCACTGCTGTCTCTCTCCAGGCTCACTGAGATCAACCCTATGGGGAGCGGAGGGTCAGGGAGTTTGACTTGGCTTAACTCTAAGTACCACCACCCTCACCCCATAGCCCAAGCATCCTGTGAACAGAGCAGCTTCTGCTGTTACTCATATTCCTCCTGTAAAATCTATTTTTGTGGTTTATTGGCTCTGTACTGCACTAATGCCAATGCACCCCTGTCACTCCTCTTATAATGTGCACCAGTGAAGGGCTAGTGTGTGTTTTAATGCAAGTCAAATTTCACATCACATATTATCATATTCTTGCATTCTTTATTAGCCCTATACAATTTCTTGCATTAGGAATGCATCTTTTCGCATATCACGATATCCTATAGGCTAAGAGTGGTTTCTTATTCAGTAAAAGGGAATTTTTATTTTTTATAAATCCTGTGTTTTTAGATTGTATCCTTGTCACAAAGTAGTTAGTGAAAGCCTTGTAGTGCTGCCTGCTTGAATCTTCTCACGTGAAGCCAAGAAAGTAACCTAGAAAAAACAAATAAATCAGTGGAGTTTGAGCACAAAGAGACTTGGAGAGAGGATCATAGGGGCAGACCCAGTGGCCGCTGCCTGTGGGTGTTGGCACTGGTAAGGAGAAACACATCGCATAACAGGACTGGAAACACAAGGTAACGTCATTTCCTGAATCAATGGATTATCAATCCTAATCCTGCTGCTTTGGCTGTTAAATTCATACAAGTGAAAATGTGCATTACATAAACTGCTCTTAGTAGGATTCTGTAACTGCTTGATTTTGACAGCTCCCCACACTCCGCCCCCTCACCTTGTGTACCCAGTAACCCTTTGGCCTGGCCCCGTCCCAGAACCCTAGAAGCAGCACTGCTGTTTCTGCTGAGGCAGGGGTGTCTTTCCCTGTACAGGTTATTTTGGTTTTATTGCTGTGTTCACTTGCCCTCCCAGGCTGAAACAGCCCCGCTGAGGTGCTCCCCCTAAATGTCTTGTCTCTACAGCTGGGTGTTCAGGCTGTCATCCCTGTCTGCCCCATGGCCTGGAGCTCTGTAGGTAAGCCCAGAGCCTACTGCAGACCACACGGTCTCCTTCCACTCCCAGTCAAACTGTAGGGAAGAGCATGCATGTGTGCAGAAACCAAAAAGAGAAATTAAAGAGGAGCCGATGTAGACAGAGTTAAATCTGGCAGCTCATCCTTATCTCGGTGAAAAGGAGACTTTGTTGAGATTTTAGGAAGAACTGTCATGACACTGGAGATATTTTCTAAAATATTTTGTTCTCAGATTTTTGCCTGTTATAATAATAATGCAACAAATTTGGCCCAACCAAATAGACCTGTCCTGCTGGCTTTCTCTACCTGTCTTTACCAAGGTGCAGTGGGGCTGGGGTGACTTATGGGGAGACAACTAGCTGGAAACTGTTGAAGCACAGTGTTAGGAATCGAATGGTTAGAATATTCCTCTAATTCAGGCTCCGATGGCAGCAGCCCAGAAACCCAGGGAACAGAATTTCTCTCAGGGTGGGTAAACTGTGCAAAGTGCTCCCACACTTCTGCAACTCCTCAGCAACCACAACCTCTAATAAACACACAAACAGCAATGATGGAAAGCATCCTGTGTGTGTTCACCAGTACAGGGGTACCCCATCTGCACTGCCTCTTCTCAACACGCAGAATACTGTTATTTCCAGTTAACCCTAGATGTTCAAAACAGCACTGCTGGGACAGCAGAGGCTCAGTGGATGAATATGGAAGTTCCTGGCTATGGAGTGAGGGTTTATCTTATCTGTTTGATTGCATTTTGCATGTATTGGGGAAATTTGCTGCTTTGCTATTCTTGGGACCAGGTGTACCCTCTGTTGAGACAGTACACTTGGGCTGTGGTGCAGACAGGATTGTTGCAGTCCATTCCTAGCGTACTGCAGTGTATAGGCTGTCCCGTATGGACTGTGATAGCACTGATCTGTAATATATAGTGGGGCTAAAAAAGTAAACATCGGAGGCAGCATCTCTGTAACTGTCTGTCCAGTTTACTTGATGGGATCATGTGAATGGTTACAGACAGATTCTTCTCAGAGGTGATTCCAAAATTCCACCATCCTCATGTTTCTCAGCTAATGACTTTTAACCCCTAGCCAGAACCAGCCTTCAGCCTCTGGCAGGTGTTAATTATATTATCAATACAAGCTGTGCATGTTGACCTAGAACACTTTAGAATAAAATACTGTTCTTCTTTCCTTTTGCTGTGATAAGCTACTAACAAAAGAATAGTTGTCTGGGTTGTCTGCCTGCAAGGTTATTACCACCTCTGAAACATTTTGATGTTTAGTTTGTTTAGTTGCTTACAGAAAGGGCCAAGTTGTACAGCCTGTTCTCTAGTCTGGACAGGATGTGATCTGTCCAGCTGGTGTGAGTCAGAGGGGTCAGTTTTTACATCCACACCCCCCCCCTCCCCATCCTGGAGTCAACAGGGTGTTAAATATGAAAGGAGCCCCTCATGAGAGCGGAATGCAGGAGACACTGGACACCAGATCAGATCCTCCTTTCACAGAGCAGTCACGCTAGCTCTGAGGGACCATCTACAAACTCCCCTTTTCTTTTTCAAATGCACAGTACATTTTGTGTGTGTACCCACTTTTCTCTGTGGTGCAGACCTTTCGCAATAATTGTTAGAGCAAGCCAACTATTGTACATGTATCTTATTTGTGTGGCCGTATAGTTATTACATATCATCCTTGGCAAAATAAAATATCTATCACCCAGTGATGACGTACACAAGAGTCTACAGGACCTAAAATCTGAAGTGGCTCAAACTGGAGTCCTGTTTGATAGGCTGTTTCATGTAGTATTGTGCTACAGCCTACAGTCTGTCTCTGCAATTCCTGTAATGGGTGCCAGGGTGTTGCTGTAGCTGTGGGAGGTGACTACAGATATGCAGACTGACTTCTGACCTAACACAGAGTTGCGAACCTCCTAACTTGCATTACTCAGGGTCTGGGCCCAACACTGCACATTAATGGGGCCTACAGCTACAGTTTAACAGGGAGTGCAGTGGTCCTCACTGTTAACCACAGGAGGGACTGTGACTGATATTTCTGGACTGGGTCTTAGAGCTTAAGGGCAATTTTCTTTGATATCGGTGTATATTTCTTTAAGTAAGATAAAGTTTAAAATGCAAATTCTAATAATGTCGAGAGACAAACTTTGCTATTGTTTTATCCTTAGATTGTCCTAGATTGTCCTGTATTAGTGCTGGAACAGCAGCCTGAGCTTCCCTGTGCCCTGAGGCAAGAGCAATTTGCACTGGCCTGCGTTTCAACAGGGCTCCAAACCACTATCTGATCCCTTCAGCCTCAACAGCCCCTAAAATACCTAGCGCTTCACGCCTCAGACTGCATTCCTGATGAATATTTTTGGGGAAACCTGAACCCTGACCCTATTTTTCATACGTGCTCAGAGGGGCGTCCCTGGCTGGGGTGCTGTGCTGGGCGGGATGTATAATCCAGGTTCAGACAGCTATAGAGCAGACTTTCTAGTACAGCCTGCACTGATGGGGCAGAAAGGCAAATATTTTTATGTTTTTTTAACAGTTTTACTATGGTAAACGTGTAGTAGGCAGCAGTGAAAGTAGGGTAAAACACTACCAAGGAGGCTCTGGTCCTTGAGAGGAGAGGATACAATCGAAAAGCAGAATTCTGGACCATTTATCCTGGTTCCCAGACATTGTAGGCATCCTGCTTGCTCTCCAGCATCAGAGAATTCATTTCACAGGTTGAATTTATCATTTTAAATAGAGAATTATGTGGAATAATGTGGTTGGGTAGTTTAAGTGAAACCACTGCCTTAAAGTTTGCCACAGCTTGTCAGCCTATTATTTGGCTCCACTTCAGAAAGTCTGTACATACTAGGTCAGCTGCAGTCCCATGAACAGTCTTCTTTGATAATGTCCCATTGAAGTGATTTAGTCCTGTCAGACTGGTTTCTGTTCCACCTTTCTTTTTCTGTTTAAAATGCAGGATCTGCACTTGGTTTTCTGATGTTGGGGCCCCAATCTGGAATGGTCAGATACCAGCAAATCCCCCGGCTAAGGCTCATGGGAACCATCATGCAGCGCTACTGTCTGCTGAAGAACTGCCAAGGCCTCTGCTGTACCATTTACTGTAGGTCTGTGGATGTCCAGTCAAGCTCAGAGGCAACTGATTTACAGCACACCTCCGCACCATTTTCTCTTCTACCCCCCACACGCAGCACCAGGGGGATAAGGTTTGCTGGTGTGACAGCCTGGATTTGAGCTGCTGTTCCTCAGGCTACAGGACCCTCTACCTGTATGCCATGCCATGAAGAAGTCTGTACTGGATTGGCTGAAGTGGTCTCTGGCTGTTATTGCTCCAAATAGGGTTACAGGGTGATGCATTATCCTGGAGGCACATGGCAGCGTTTTGCCGATGACAGGTCACAGATTCTCTGTTAATTCCATCATGTGCGGCAGCTGGACCTCCTGCTGGCTGCGTCATTAATTAATTCATCAGCCACAGGGTGCCCAAGGATAGGAACTGATTTACTCTGCTGTTGAAGCTCAGCAGAGAGTTTGTGGCCTTTGCTCCCACATCACTCACTGCATGGAAGTAGCAAGACCTCTAGTGAGACACCACATGCCTTGATGCTGCAGCCGTAGCTCCACAGTGGGCAGAGGATCTGTGTCAGTTCACAGGTCATTCTCAGTTTTTTAATACAAAACTACTTTTCATGACCACATCAGAACTCCTCAGCCGCTGCTTTTATTGTTTTTGACGTGACTCACTCTTGCCAGCATGCCCAGCTTTTTGCATAAGCAGAGGAGTTGTATCTTAGCCTAGGCTTCGAGCATGGCATTTCTGAACCATGTAACTAATCTAATTAATGACTAATTAATGCCTGGGCTATTCAGTGCTGCTGGTCACAATCTTTAATCCCTGAAACACACAGCTGTCAGTCACAGCTAGTTTCCTCCTCTCCACACCTGTCAATCAAGTTTCTAATGAGAAATCTGAGTGCTCTGCTCGGTCTCTGGAGGCCTGACCCCGCCTTGTTCGCAGACACATCCACATTTTCTATCAGACAAGGATGGAGGCTGGGTTCTTATTTCCACTGGCCCATTCTAATTTGATCCTTTAAAACTGAGAATACAGAATATTAACAAAGAGCTTTAACGTGCTCGTAGTGCTCAAAAATAGTTCATTCACCTGTAGAAAAGTTTAAGCAAAAGAGTAGAGACATTTTCCACCATTCACAGAGGCCTGGATCTTTAGAGCCAGGATGCAGAGATCATGTCCTCGGTCTTCATTCTTCACTGGACTTCAGATTACCAGCAGAAGTAGTTATTTGCTCAGTCTGGTCGGTTCTGCATTTTCCACAGGCGTTTGTAAAGAGATAGATCTGTCAGCCCACTCAAGTAGTGTGGAATTTCAGTTACTCCTCTGATGCTCTCGTGCCTGTCTGCCTAAGATGGGCTGCCTTTGCTTGAGAATAGCCTGAGAGGCCAGTGGAGAATGCAGGAGCCCTGGAACTAAATTTAAGAAGCTGAGAAACATCGCAAAAGATCTACTCTGGGTCTTTGGATCCAGCAGTCCCAGTTTACCTTCTGCCAGAGTAAACTAGGCCAGGTGGGGCAATGTTCTGGGGGGTAATCGTTTTCCTGGGCTACCTGTACACACATGGTCTGCATGAGGCTAAGACAGAGGAACAACGCAAATAAATGTTGTACAGCTGCTGTTCACATTCACCAGCGCAAAACTAAAGACATTTTTCTATTAAGCTTTTACTTTCAATAAATATTGTAACATAGTAAATTTCACAAGTTTAATTAATGGTGGAATTAGTACAAATCGCCTAGTGGATATATATTAGGTTATTACCTCTAACTTAACCTGTAGGATAGTTTGGTCATGCCCATTTTGCACATGTTAGATCTTAAAAATAACACCCATTCTTGTGCACAAGATCTAGGTGTCTTAAAACAGGGGTGCCCAGCCCTTGTTCTTGACAGCAGAAGTTATGCAAGTTTTATAAGGAACTTTAAATGGTCAATCAGCAGGGATCTGGAAAAGCCTGTTTACTTCCTGTAATTAAGCAGCAGATTGACCTAGGTAAGTCATTTGGAGCTCAGCAGAGGTGACAACTACAGCTCTTCAGCACGAAGGCTGGGCACCACAGACTCGTGAGTTTTCATTTTGAAGAAACCCCTGGCAGCTGCCTGTCTCCGTTGCTCTTGCTCACCTTTGAAGCGGGGAGTGAAGGCCTGCATCTCGGCGGGCAGGGACTGGTAGAAGCCCAGCTCATTGGAGAAGAGGGGCTTGCAGATGGTCGTCTCATTGTAGCGCATCATTCCAGCGTGCCCCCCAACCTGGTGTATGAAGGGCTCCAGCCGAACCCGAGTCCGCAGATCCCCATCCTCCACCCCGTTCAGGAGTACCATGCTCGCATGTGGGCCTGCCAGGCACTGGGTGGCCGGGATCCGCCTGCTGTCCACCACCCAGGGATGGACACCTGGCTTCAGGACACTGGGAGATGGGGAAGGGGTGCCCCCGAATTTCCGGGGTTCTCTATAGAGGGGAGAGGGCTGGGCATCCAGGAGCTGAACTGCTGCAAGAGAGGGATTTGGAATATAACTGACGTGATATCTTTCTTGGTCCTTTACAGCCTACAGCCCTTGAGCAACGAAGTGAGAAGCCTCCTGTTTGCTAACTCTGTAGGGGGATGGACCTGGATTGGGTGGAGGAACCGTTTTCACTCTGTTGCTCTGTGCAGGTAATATTGGCTGTTTTCTAATTTACAATCTAATAATAAAGCCAAAAAGGCTGTTCTGTTTGTTTTTGGAAACTGATCAGTAATATAGCTAAGCCAATGTTGTACGTCGGTTTAAATGTCAAGTGCAAAGTGCTTTCTTCTTCTTGTGATTTAGATCATCTTCATTTTCTAATCTGTTTTCAGCAACATATGTAAAGAAAGAGCTTTTACAGAATAAAATGTTGGTTTATTTTACATATTCAAGTACAGTGTTATTTTCTAGGGTACATTTTGGCTGTTTAAGGCGATATAATATGAATCCTAATATACTTGAAGGGGCATTCTTAATCTGACAGAAAACACAACCAATAAAATTGGCATGCAGGAGAGAACTCTATAAATATGGCTTTAGATATTTTTTTATTCCTTTTCTTCAGGGTGAATACAAATGTAATTGCATTGAGTCATGTGGTTAACAGGACTCTTTTTGGGGTCTCTGCATTTTGAATCCTTGTTTGGACTTTGAAAGTGTTCCACATTTCAGAGGATTTCATATAATAACAGAATGACATAATAGAATGTCATCTGTTAAAACTAGTCACACTTTACTGGGATTACCCTGTCATCTTAAATCACAGGCTTTAAAAATGCATTTCAAACATGAATAAAGGAGAGTAAAGAAGCAATTACCTGTTGAGGAAGACAAAGAACAGAGTATAGGCAACGAAGACAAAATTACAGCTGACCACTGTTCTTGTCTGGCTCCGCTGTTACAACTGACCGATGTTCTTGTCCAGTTCTGCTGTGGCCGCTGGCCACTGGGCATGTCTGGCTCCTTCGTGACAGCTGTCACTGTGCTGGTCCGGCTCGGCTGTGGCCGCTGACCACTGGGCTTGTCCAGCTCCTCCGTGACAGCTGTCACTGTGCTGGCCCGGCTCGGCTGTGGCAGCTGACCAATGGGCTTGTCTGGCTCCTCCGTGACAGCTGACCACTGGGCCTGTCCGGCTCGGCTGTGGCAGCTGACCACTGGGCTTGTCTGGCCCGGCTGTGGCAGCTGACTACTGGGCTTGTCTGGCTCTGCTGAACAGCGGCTGTGTCTCAGTCCCTATGTGTGTATCTCTCTCAGCTGTCTCTGTGTACCAATCCTGTGTGTAGAGAAGAGTGTGAAGCTCTGGCTGCCTGGAAGGTTGACAGTACATACTGGCGCAACAGCATGGCTGACACACTCCTTCCCTCCCTCCCTGACATGTGCCCACACGCGCAGGAATATTTTACCACAACCGTGTGACCTTAGACGCTATGTGTGTCGAGACTGTTTATGTCCTGAGGCAGGATCAAATTTCCTTTCTGGAAAGCAACTTTTTTTATACATCAGACTTCTTGATTTTCTGAATGGTTTCGGGTATTATTGGCTAAAATGGACATGATTTCTTTTTGTGGTCTTCTAAAGCTAAGAATTTACAAAACAGATGTGATTCAAAATACAGCAGCTCACATCTTTTTTGTACTTGAGTTTTTCATTTCTGCATGGGAATGTTAAATTTATGCAGTTAATCAAGCAGTCACACTAATTAAGTCAGGGAAGGACCCCTTGATCGCTTGGAAAGGAATGACCAGAGTTCAGAGTCTCAAAACCCTGCTGTGAGTGTAAATACAGACTACAGCTTTTGTTTGACTTTTGAGAGACAAAGGTCTGAGCCAGAAGTTTGACCTGTCCCGGGAGAGATGGAATCTGGGATAGAACTGTGACAAGTTCGGGTAGCTGTGGACACATTTCACAGATGTAACTTTCTCCACAGGAAACAGATTTGCTGTCTCTTGTGAGTTGTAGGTAAATGTCTCATGAACACAACCCTTACATAGCAGGAATATTTATCCCTATAAGCATAAGCCTTCTAATGTTTTTACATGTTAAAAAAAAACTCTGTAAAGAATTCAGTAACATTCCATATCTTCTGAGATTAACTAAAATCTGAACCTAATTTTCCGATGAAGATGCTGCTGAATTAACTGCTTGCAAATGTTTTTAAAAAATCTTATTTTGACAGATATTGCATTTGTATTAATTTGCTTTTAATGGTGAAAAATGACAGGTTACACCAATCCTGCCTTTTTCTGGAAGAATCTTCCCTGATGTGTGTTTGTTGTGTCTCAGATGTTTTGTAGGCTGACCTGCAGTTAAATTAGTATGGTGTGTGTCGGTTCTGTTACAGATGTATTTGTTCCAGCTTGTTGACCTACGTATTTTGTCAGGCTTCAGGAAACAGAATCAATTTGCATCTGTGGGCAACAGGAGACAGGAGAGAATGTAATTCATTGCAGTTAAAAATAAAAAAAGAAAAATAAAGTGATTTATGGAGCTGAGTGACAGCCGGTTATTAACTCAATACTCCTAACTCCTTTAAAAGGAGAGTGGGGCAAAGCTGCAGGCTGTCCAGACCAGGGGCAGCACTGCCCTCTGCTGGTGGGCCTAGGACATGCAGTGCAAAGAAACCTGAAAAATGTCAGTGAATACAGTCCTGTGTCAGCTTATAATAATAATAATAATTCCTTACACTTATATAGCTCTTTTCTGGACACCCCACTCAAAGCGCTTTACAGGTAATGGGGACTCCCCTCCACCACCACCAATGTGCAGCATCCACCTGGATGATGCGACGGCAGCCATAGTGCGCCAGAACACTCACCACACATCAGCTATATGTCGGGAGGAGAGCAGAGTAATGAAGCCAATTCATAGATGGGGATTATTAGGAGGCCATGATTAGTAAGGGCCAATAGGAAGTTTGGGCAGGATGGGCACCGGTCTCATTACATAGCTGAGGTTTATGGATCCTTTTGAAACTGAATAGTCCATCACTTTTGACACTAAATGCAACATTACAGTACCCTAAAGTCTTATTAATCAAAATACATTTAAAATACTGGGAAAAAGAAACCTGACCTCTACGCCATGTGGTAGTATTAACATTTGGTTGCAGTGGAAGGGAATTCTCAATTCACTTCAGGGAAAGTTTCTTATACTACACTGATTTATCCCTGATGGCTCTTATCAATTAGTGATGACTAAGATGTTTTATTGACTTAAATGTACAAGATAGGGTTTAAAAATGTTAATAGCTGCCACTTTGCCTTTGATTAACATTGGCAGTGCTGAGCTCCGGCCTACTCTCTCTCAAGATATCTTCCATTTTCACAATAACTACTTTACTGAAACATTTGATTTCCTTTTTTGCCTCTACATTTGCAGTTGCTGTGCCTTCAGTATTGGTGCTATGAATGCAAGAGGCCATTCTTTCCTGCCTGGCAATCTTTTGACTTCAGTCACAAACCCAACACACCGATGTTGTGAAAATAATGAAAATTTATTTCAAACATAACATGGGTTATTAATGGCAAATGATGCTTGAATTACTAAAAAACACACCCCCTTCTCTTTCACAGAGTCAGCCTCTTGTGGCATCCCTGGCACAGACGCCCGCTGCCAGGGGACAGATTGCTGCGTCTGGAGGAAGGTGGTACTGTCAGTGTGAGTAACTGCCGCTAACCTCAGGGTGGTCATCCCAGCTTCACCTCACACACCTGGCTTGCAGGGGGCCCTGTCACAAAGTCACTGCCTCCAGTGCGTCACAGGCAGCGAGTTAGGCAGGGTGCTCTGTTCATCAAGTCCAAAGTCAGTGCCTGTGCAATATACGTCTCAGCGTTGTACTCCACTGCCAGATGTAGATTTATCCTCTAGACCCCACAGCTGGGTTAGGCTCTCATCTCCACACTGACACACTGCGAGTCTTGTCACCTTCTGCATCTTTGCTTTATTTGTTTAAGCATTTGTTTATCCCTTCAGTGCACTCTGTGTATACAGCTGTAGGTCACTCATGATAAGGGCACCACTAAACAAATAATTTAATAAGAAGCAGCTCCATTCTGATAAGGAACAGGCCTTTTTACCAATCTTCTAATGGGCTAAAGAGAAGACTAAGAACATTTAGCACTGAAGTGTTGAAAAACCATTGCTTAGAATACCTGAACACAGATTCTCACTGGAGTGTTTTTGGATCTGTGCATTCCTGCTTGGTGTGTCGGCAGGAAGGGAAAGGAAAGTGGAAGGGACTTTGGTTCAAGAGGGTGAGAGGAGAAGGCTTCTGTTTGTTCAGCTGCTCCAGCAAGTTTAACACACTGTTCTCTAAAACCAACAGCTGTTTTTATGATCAGCTCATAAAGAATCAGTTTCAGAGTTAATTTTTTATATTTGTCTACAAAGAAAAAAAACAACAACAACTGTTCAGCCCTGCCAGCTCCATATTCCAGAAAACATTCGAGAAATGTCTCAGGATTCAGAGGCTCCAAGTCCGCCCTCCCCAGGATTCAATCCAGCACAGAAAGCACATCTGCAAGACATCCAACTACCTGGCTGATGCTCCCGAAAGGACAAACCGGAAACCAGTATCTGCAGGAAAGACTGAAGGCTCCCCTCCGTCTACAACACCTTCAAAAATAAAACTAACAGATAAAGATACCAAAGATTCTCATCTTCCCGCTCTTTTCCAGATGACTTATTTTTAAGCAGCATGTCTGAAGCACCCGGTCGAGACAACAGAGCCACTACACAGGATGACTAACAATGAGGAAGACAGCTTTCGAGTTTTATCAATAGAAAGAATTGACCACCTTTTCAAATAGCCAGCTTTGTCACAGCTCCCTTTATAAATGAATCCAATCAGTCCAGTGCAGAGGCAACTGAATGAGACTATAGTGTTGTGTAACCCTGTCTAGCTTGTTCATTAGGTTACAGTTCCTGAGGATGGCAACTTACTGCTGAATCCCAGGTGGAGTCTTTAGGTTATTCAGGCCTCCTGCCCAAAACGAAAACCAGCCGAACACAAAATATTCCCTTTCCTGAAAGATCAGTCCAGTCTGAGACACCACCACCACCCTGGGCTGGCTGCTGCTTGAGGCACAGCTTGTGAGCGTGTGCTGTGTTTCGGCTTAAGGTGGAGGGGGTTGTTCATGCTCCCCGACACCCCCTAGCTGGAGTCAGACATCTCTGAGGGCTGCGTCCAGCGCCACACCAGGAAGTCCTCTCCGCCCACGCGGTGGCTCTCTGTGCGAATCCGCGACTCGTGGGACGCCAGGAACTCCACCGCCTTGTCCCACACTCTTCGCATTCGCCGTCTGCAAGAACAGACAGAAAGCAGGAAGATGTGACAAAGGACCCCCAACCCCTGGTAACTGTTGCAGATCAGTGTCTGCCCATCCTCTTCTCTAATTAAATCTGAGTACTTTTTATCCCCCCAGTGCTTTCCAATCACATTTTCCATGAATATCAAAACGTAGTGTTCAGTCCTTTATCATCAGCCAGCACACAGGTACATTCGTACAAATAAAAACAGAATTAACAGTTCTCGCAAATGTTTTAAGTTAAAAAAGGGCTGGGCCGCATGGCAGGACAGAGTCTGACCTGTTCTGTGGAGGGATGAGGGAATCCCGGATGTGGGGGATTGGAACATACGGAAGGGGCTCCAGTCCCTGATCCCAGTCCTTATAGTGTTCCCGGACCGCAGCTGCAAAACAGCAGAGCCTAGTGCTCAATGACCATACAGTACAGCACAGCCCATGACACACACAGCCACGTGCAGCCAAGCCAGCACCACTCACACACAATAATTGAGCACCTGTGTGAAGAAGGACAGAGATGTGGGGGCCTGGGCGGGCCACAGGGTGTGCAAAGCCCCAAAGGACACAGGTCATGAACTGGCTTTCTGAAGGGCTTAAAAAGCTGTAGTAAATTACACAAATCTAAAACCCCAAAAGTTTAAAAATCAAATTACAGGATATTATACCTGTAATTGTACTATTGTACTCTCAGTACATTGTACTGAGAATTTGAGATTGGGTCTGTATGTGTTTTATGGCTATTAATTCAAAGGCAGAAGCTCAAATTGGCCTTTACTGTTTAAATAATGTGGATTATCTGACAAGGGACACACAAAACATGCTGATGTGTAAAATCCTGCAAGGGCCTGGGGTTCATATACAACACAGCTTGCTCAGGAAGTGCGCAGGGCAGTCAGATCCGTCATCGACACTACTGTCTTGGACCATTCGCCCCCCACCGACACCTGCTCATCGGCGCCCCCCTGCTGCCCAGCATACCGATGATCCTGTGGACCAGCTCGTACATGGCCTGCTCCTCCTCCTGCAGCCGACGCCAGCGGTACCTCAGCAGCACCAGCACCCCCCACATGACACCCAGCGCTGTGGAGACACACATGGAGGCTCACAAACCGCAGGGAGACATGCAGCCCAGCTCCATACCCGTGACTCCAGTGTCTCCTGGATTTTGGGCTGCCTGAGCTCGTCATTTAACCCTTAAATCCACTAATGAATTGCTTGCTTGGAAAGTTAGTTTAAATTGTTGGGAAATTCACAAGTGACACGAGTTGTACAACATTTTAGGTTCTGTTTTGCTCTCCAGTCCTATCTTGCACCTACAGTATACATGAAGAACATTTCTAAACTCAAACACCCTGACTCTTGCACTGTACAGGAACTGACAGCTGACACTCAGCTCCACCAGCGGAGCAGGGGCGCACCCAGGATGAAGATGAAAGTCCGCTGGAGGGCAGTGACTAAGGCCAGGCTGAGCCGGCAGTCGAGGCTCCGGGAAGGCCAGGAGGACTGGACGCACTGGACTGCCTGCACGGACACCACCAGCTCCGAGGGGTCCTCTCCCACCAGCCTGGGACAGACAGAAGCACACTGGAAAGGTAAGGGGCGAGAGGAGGCCACTCTGTATGTTTGGGTGCAGGAAGCTGACAGTAAAGACAGGCAGATGAACAGATGTGAGCAGACAGATACCGGACCACAGCACAGACAGATGAGCACAGAAAACTAGAAACCTAATTTTATGCTGGGATTTTGAATATTTAGGAAGTTTTGAACTATTTTAATTCAAGAGACTTTAATAGCTCCCCTTCCTTTGAGAGAGAGGCAGCTGATCTCCAAGTTAATTAAAAAACAAGAGCTTTGAATAGTTACCACCTTCTGATTTCTCACTGGAGCAGGTTTGATAATACCTAACCAAGCCTTCTGAGAGTTCTTAACTTTGAGCACTTACTGAATTCCCAGGTCTGTCTCACTCTGGAGAATCCATTCCAGCGCTGCCTCCAGCTTGCTTGCATAGTCTTTGTTTAAAATCTGCTCAAGAGATTTCAGTTCAGTTCCTGGCATGGGCAGATAACTTAATTACAGAGAAATAAAGACAGGACACGTCCACTGCAGTCAGAGCAGGGGAACACAGATCTCTTAAGTGCATGTTGAACTGATCTACACAGCTCCTGTCCTATGACAATCCTGCCATACAGCTGCATTTTAAAAGTCTCAATTCCCTAGATTCAGCAGTTTGAGAAGTGATACCTTGGAAAATTTAAGCTTAAGTCTGCAGACTGTCAAAAGTATCAATGCTGGGGGCACAGACCCTTGCTGGTCGTGACATGTTTTAAGATCAACAGGGGCAGAGTGGAGTCTGAGGGATAAACAGGCAGCTCCCATGGAAACTCTGCAGCAGCCCCTCAGCTTGCTGCATGGAAATCCTCACCTGTTCTCATAATTCAGAACTGTTCATCGTTTTCAGTTTATTTCACACTTTCATGCTCAACCTTCCATTTTTTAAGATCTTAGCAGGTAGAAAAAAACAAAGAATTCAAATGAATGAAGTTATCGGGTCATTAAAGAGACAGAGCTGAGCTGCAGTGAGAGGAAGTGGGCACACTGCTGCAGAGCCCAGTTCCTCAGACACGAGGGCACCACGTTCAGTGTTCCAGTCTCCGAGTGTGTAACCAGCATCACAGGGAGGAAAGGCTCACCGCCAAGTAAGTCCTCACGTCTTCGATGGGAACACATGCATTCGTCAGTTTGGATGGGTTCCCACATTCAAAGTCACCTAAACAAGAAGAGAGAGAGAGAGTAATACAGTATGTTACCCAATTGCTTATACAATTTTTGCATGCAAGAATCTCTTCTGGTTTCAAGACTACAGCTAGCAAGTGAAGGACCCATTTTAGTAAAACGTTTTGAAATGCTTGATCTTTCGTTCATGAATAAAACAAATCTGTGATTTCACTTAAAAATGACTCCATAAATTAAGTCATTTAACTAGGACTGCGTTAATTTAGCTGTTCTGTTATTTGTTTGAGCACATAACTCTTAGTGATTCAGTGATATTTGTATGATTTAATGTTTCCAGAGTTTTGCAAGACTGTGGACACATTAGAAAGCTCTGTGCTTATTCAGCTGTCTTAGAGAACACAGGAAGTACCCACAACCTTTGTGAAAGCCATTCTGAAATTCTGTATCAAGGTGTATTCTGCGTACATTGGTGGAGACGGGGGTTAATGTGGTATGCAGATCTTTTAGACTACCTGGAGCTGGATTTCTCTTTCGCTAATGCACAGTGCTAAGCAATACTGGCCAGTTATGAATAAATGGTGTATTTACAACTGAATGCCATGCAGAGTATTTTTCAAATAAATGTAACAATAGCAGTGTGGCGCACTGATTCATTCGACCCACTGGTTTGCAACATATGGTTAGGAGCAGGTTATTATAGGAGGGCTATATTGACACAAAGGCTCAACATCTTTGTTCCACACGACACGCTCACCCCACGCCCCCTCCTCCCCTCTGGCCGACACTTCACCTGCCACCTTCGCCAGGAAGCTGTACAGCTCTGACAACAACTGCAGCTGCACCCTCTGCTCCTGAGCCCTGCAGTACTGGGGAAGGAGGAGGACAGAGGGGCAGACAGAGAGACAGGTGTTACACAAACTATGGTGCTTGTCCTCCACTCAAAGACCCAGTACCCATCAGAACTGTTTTCAATACTGCATTACTATCATTATCCCCGTGTTTAACTGTGGTTGCAGTTTCCTCTATACTGTTTGAAGGAGGTGGGTCTCTGTAGCAAGTGTTGACGTGGACCGGGAGACGGAGCCACAAGTGTGGGAACCTGCTGCTGTCCCACCCCCCTCACCCTGCCTGGAGATACACCTGTCTGCCCTCCCGGTGCTGGAGTTTGCTCACTGTCAGCAGCCAGCTGCAAGACATTCCACAAGCAAAGCACGCCTTTTCATAGCCAGCACTAGAACAGTACTCGCATCAAACTCATGAGTTTGGAAAAAAAGTCTGGAAATACTTCACAGCCACAAAGCTCTTGACAGAAAAGCATCGACTCTGCCTCACTGGCTGCTACTCTCTTTCCTCCCAATTAAAGCCTGCCTCGGAACTTGTCAACCCAACAGTTTCTAATCTCCACTGCCCTCTTGTTACTCTTGTTGTGACCGGGCCGTTCGCCGCTAAATCACTTTGGGAAACTGAAAATCAACTTTCGCCTTACTGTGTCGGTCTTCCCATCGCAGTCCACGCTCAGCCCTTGAACTGGGAAAAGGGGAGAGAGGCGTTAATTTCCACAGCAACAGCAAACTGGGCAGTAACTTTAACAGAAAGCGGGTGAAGCGGGTATTTACTGAGACAGCGGCAGTCGAGGGTCCGGGCAGCTGGGTTACTAATAAGCCTTGGCGCTCTGACAGGGACAAGGCATGCGGATGTGAAGGGCGGGTTTCTCAATCCAGAGCAACTCATTAAACGAAAGAAGAAAAGCGAATTTGCTCACTGTTGCTGTTGGCGTTCTCGGGCTGGCCCAGACTCACAGTCTTCATATAAACCAGCCAGATGAGAATCAGGCTGAGGATTACGGTGCAAGCCAGCAGAACCCGGGACAGCTGCCGCTCGCAGAAGCGATTTCGCCGGGTGGAGCCGTCATACAGCCTCTGCGCGTCCACCCTTCTGAAGAAGGAAAAGTTCGTGCTGTCGGACAGCCGCCGGTTCCGGCTGTCCTCCCGAGTATCGCGAACCCTGCTCCCGTAGTCATCTTCATCGTCGTCGTCGTCGTCGTCCGAGTCTTCGCTGTCCTGGTGGAAGCTGGCTGTCCGCTGGCGGTGCCGGGGGCTGCCGCTGCTGTGCCGGTGTCGGGAGTGGATGTAAGACTGGCCTCTGAGGAGATGCACTCGGTTGTAGTCAACGGTGGCCTGTAGCTTCTGGAGTTTTTTCTGGTACAGTTTCCTTGTGTAATCGGATATGGGACCCGGGCTATAACCGAAGGACTTCAGCTCCCTACGGAGCAGCTCGTCCGAGAAGGCGGCCATGTTTAGTGTCCTGGGCGGAAGTGTGTTTTAACACACCGAGGTGGGCGTTCTGGGACGCCATGTTGGAAAGGACACAACCGTGCGCAAGAGGCAGAGGCATGGAGCCTCTGTTCAGTTGCTGATTAAAAAAACATTTCTCATGTAAATTCGTTTTGTCACTACATTTCAGTGTTTTTTTTATTTTAAACATAGCCGTGTACATTCTTGATGTATCAATAAAGTTTTAATAATATAAAAACATTGATTTCACATTGAGGGTTTATGTCTTGTTTTAAATTCTTGTTTTATGAATGTGGATGTATTACTTGTACTTATTACAATTTCTGTGAGAAAGAAGATACAGTCGGTATTCCAGTAGTTTTACAGCCTCTAACACTCAGCTTCTCCTGTTGTCGAGACAGCAGTTGGACCCTGACTGCAGTGCCTGGGGTCCTGCCACCACCTGACTACCTTGAGCCATCTGTCCCAGACGCTGGACAGGCCAAGTCACAATAATCAGGAAGGGAATAAAGTTTATTCTTCTTGTTTATTTACAATGTAATATTTTCACCGAGTTTTGGAAGCTTTGGAGCATTCATCTATGACTCTCCTAATCTTTGTACAATGCTGATGTACTTTGTGGGGAGTTACACACCTATAAAAGCCTGCAAGGCTCAGCAGATGTACTGGTGGGTCTGAGAAAATTATATTTGGAATTTAATTTTTTTTTTTAGTTTACCTATTTACAATTCTTGTAAACGTTGTATACCTTGAAAAAACTCTGTCATGATTTAATTTGAGCCTTTACCACAGGTTCATAGACACTTTACATTATACACTTTACTCTGCTTATACCCTGTCTCACCACAGTAATCAGTTTTCCAAGTTCACATGTAAACTCTTTCAGACTGCTGATCCAGGTTACTGAGCTCACACCATTTTCTTAAATGGTATGTATTTCTTGGTATGTATGCCGTACCATATAGATGGTCCTTCACACACTTATTCAGTGCAGAAATGATGTATTGCTTTAATAAAGAATAACATGAGAAAGGAATCTTTTAAATGGTCAATTCAGTTTTATTAAGCATGGTAAAGAGGTAAAGTGTATCTGTGGACATGCTTTAGGAATATTAGAACGACTTCCAGTTGCTTTAAATCAGAGCTGCTGGGCGTCTCCTCACTCGGCCACTGAAAAGCAGAAGAACACGGACGGATGAGTAGAGCAATGTGATTTTGTAAATTTGTCATAAAAGTATTTGCAAAGTATTATGAAAAGCTTTTATTTAATTGGTGTCTGTGTCTACCCCTTGTATCTTCTACTGCATTCAAAACCCTAATTTTAAATGGGCCAAATCCGGTAAACCCCCCTGAAAATTTTTCCTACTTTAAAGTACTATACAACCTTTAAAGGCAATGTATAAAATAACATTGTTTATTATTGTTGTTTTTACGATTATATAACTTTTAGGTGTTATGGATATACTGTACAGATTTATTAGTATAGTAATTGCATGTCAGTTAACAGATCTTCTGCTGTTTTCATAGACTGTGCTGTTGGCAGGCTGCATATGGAAAGACCTGTGTTAGACCAGTGTATGCCAGCCTGCCTTGCCTCACCTTGCTGTCCCTCCTCCAGCATTTCCTGGAGGATCTCCCCCAGGGCAGGAGCGAGCTTGTTCAGCCGCTGGTGGGTCAGCCGCACCCCGATCTCCAGGGGCTCCTGCAGGCACAGACAGGGAGAGGCGTGGGCAAGTGGACAAAGAGGAGCAGTAGACAGCTGACTTTACCCCACTAAAGCTTCATGTGTTAGAATGGATTCCTGTACTGAGACTTAATATGAATAGTTTATCAAGTCATCAATTTCCCTACGGGATTAATAGAGTATTATCTCTCATCTAGTTAATTCCATAAAAAGAGACCTCGTTTAATCCCAAGCTCCATCTCTTTCCTGAGAACTTCATGGAATGCACCTTATCTCTTTCATCACATTTCAAGTGAGTTACCTTATCATCTCTGTGTTACCTCACCGGTGATGGCCTGTCTTTCTGCTCAGCATATAACTGGTGTAGGCAAAGCAACCTCCTTCATTCCATTGCGGGTCATGTTTTCCAAATAAACATTAATTATGTAAACATTCTGCAGCAGAAAGGCCAATTAAACAACTTAGTGTCAATCAATTAATTGAGTTAGAACCCCCATGATTAGTATGGCCTGCAAGATCCTAGGCTTCCTGACCCCTGGTACGGCCAGACTGGGGCTCATCCTACCTGGACTGCGTCATCCTTGACATTCCACTCCGTGCTGGCCAACTTCCCGAACTCCCTCTCCTCAGATCTCGGCTCTAAGTCCACGGATTTCTTGCCTGCCTTCACTTTCTCCTGCTCCTGTTGAGGAGGGCGTGTGACACAGCAGGTGTTAAAAGGGGAAAATAGGTGAGCAGGAGATTTCCTTCATGCATCTCTGTCAGTGTTTTGACTTGAGTTGTGTTAATGGTAACTGGATTGAGCAGGGGCTCATGCTAACAAAAGCACTGCAGGAACAGATCCTTGATGAGGAAGACTGCTGTATTCAGCTAGTGAGAACCCTGCTTGTACTGGGAGGCAGAGCAGTGTTTCTGAACTGGGCTGCTCTGGTTTGTCTGTTTGTCTCTCTCAGACCCCAAGACTCTCAAGACCCCAGACTTGAAACTCAGGTAAGCCTCCACAGGCGCACTGAGATACACATATCCACAAAGACCTGCAGATGAGTTAAGAGGGACTCAGGAGCTGAATGGAAGAAAAGGTAAACAGTTGATCTCCTGTGGTTTTCTGGTTGAGCATTCTTTTGTGAATTACATATTTGTTTCTTTCCTAGCTTTTCTCTCTTGAGTTCCGATTTGAATTCAGAAGACCTTTTTTGGCTGGAATAAATTACAAGTATTGCCAAAGCATTTTAGAGCCATTTTAGATTTTATGGACATACTGAAGTGTGATTCAGCTCCAGTTTGTAAAAACATAGTAAATGTCAAAATACTTTTAAACAAATTCATTGTTGTGTTTATCCTAACATAGATGCCTCCAACACATCCAGCCTATGCATATAAAGATAAATGCATCACAAACACTCATTCATACACAAAGTTCTTCCTGTATGTAGTACAACACAACAACTTGTATGGCACAGAGGGGAGACTCTCAGTCTGTCTCCCCCTCTCTACTCCGGACCTTACCATCATCCTCCTCATGTCACTAGGGCTGATGAAGCTGAGGAAGCCTTCCGTCTGCTTAGCCAGCATGGCCAGCACACACACCCCCAGCAGGCAGCCAATCACCTTGCTGTGCAACATTCTGGTGCCCTGCAGTGTGCGAGAGACACAGGCACTGAAGTCAAAGTGTGTGACACACAAGAGACCTGTCAGCAATAACTGTGTTTTTAAATGGAACAGAGGACAGCTTTTAAAGCAGGAATTACTTTTTCAGCAGTGATATAATAATAAGAGCTGCTTTTGTACCAGTCACTAACAAATTAGCTAACCCTGCAACAGTAAATCTCCAAACCAGCCACCCCATTTCTAAACCTTTGTTGTCCGCTGGCCTATTGGAATGTTAAACGTCCTTGATTTATTTATAACAGACATGAACCCATCATCCTAAATCTGGGCATAGTGGAGAGGCTGCACTGTGCCTGTAGTTTCAGCTTTTAGAGATGCTGTCTCCACATAAGAAAAAACTGGGGCTGAAACTTTTTTCCTAAATTTAAAGAAACTATTTTATGGCTGCAAATAAAATACAAACCCCTCTCCTGTTAAATTCTTCTAAGCAAGTTACGGAACAAAAACAGGAGACGTTTGATTGAGCAAGAAAAAAATCAAGAAACATTTCTTAGCTTGAATGTGATGAGGAGTTAGGTTTCAAGTGCAGATGAGATCTGAGAGCTGTGGAGCAGCAGTTCCTTCTTGGCCTTGCTGGATTGGCACACAGCTGGATGCCCATGAGTGTGGCGCTGTTCTCACCTGAGCTGTCAGTGTCCTGGTGCGATGTGCTGTGTGCTGTCCTCCTCAGAGAGGTGTCCTCAGTGCTCTGCTGAGGAGAATCTCAGGTATTTATAGTGTCCAGTTTCAGATGACTTGTTGCTTTCAGACTTCCTGTTTGAAAGAGTCCAAGGATAAACGTTTTCCAACTCCATAGAAACAGCTGGTTCTTCTTCTAAGAGAAATCAATTTAATGGCCTAAGAACTTGACTGAAGGACCATAAAGGAAGCATTTGCCTCAATCGTATGTGATATCTTCGTCCTCGTCCTGTGTATTAAACCCCACAGTTGCTAAGCTCTAGCTTCCTGTGTTTCCAGGAAGGTCCAGTTAGAAGCTGGAGCTGGACCACTGGTTAGGCAGGCATGCAGTCAGTATGAATGGCAAACAATCAAAGAGATGGAGGTGTGTTGGGCTGGATTTGCAGAGGGGAAAACTGGTAGGAAGTGGCCCATGTTGTTCCTGTATTGTGGGGTAGCCTACTGCTTGTCCAGAGGTGAAAGTAAGGGCTGTTAGTGTTTGGTGGGGCAGAATGCTGACAAGGCAGTTAGAGAGGCTGTCAGTCTCGTAGCTCTTGGGTCTGGGCTCAATTCTAGCTGAAGTACCTTCTGTATGGAGTTTACATGTCCTTCCTGCATCCTCATGTTTTCCTCCCACAGTCCAAAGACATGCTGTCCAGATTAATGCCCCCTGTACTGCCTGTGTGGCCCCTGATGAAGTACAGTAGTGTCCTCTCCAGATTGTGGTCCCACCTTCCACCTTGTGCCAGACAGGTTAGGCTCTGTCTCTCCGTGAGCCTCTGGGAACACAGCTGCTACTGAAAAGGCATGGAGGGGTAGTCTTTGGTGCTTAAAAAAGATTGGCAAGACTGAGTAAAAGCACAGACAATTGTAATAACAATTGTGGCAAAGCCATTCTCCACACAGCTGTTTCACTGCCCAAAAGGAAAACAAGAGATGCATTGTTCATTGTCTCTTTGACAATAATAATCCTAGCTGTTATGTTTCAGTGCAGAAATTTCATGTTGTGGGGGAGCTGCAATTGTTCTTCTGATAGCCTGTGACTAAATGTCCCTGCCTCTGTTAGAATACAGGCAGCTTTAGAAGAGAAGGAATTTCTGGCTGTTTTTCTTTTAATTTGTCTTTTTTCAGTCATGCTGCGAGATGAGCTACAGCCAGGTGTCCACTCTGAGCTCTGCAGCTCTTGTGACACTCAGGGCTGGGAGCAATAAAGTGCTCCAGTTGTGATGTCTCTTATGGGCAGCAGACCTGAGGGTGGAAAACCTGCAATAAATTCACAGGCCTCTTGGCATCTTCTGGCCAACAGGAACGTTTATTGACCATTAACTACCAGAGAGCTGGGATGCATTGCTCTGCTGGTCTGAACAGCAGGTGGAATTTAGTGAGGGTAAATTTCCAGGGACTCTTGAACGAGTCATTTCTGTGTCCCCGTGTATTTCCTGTTATTGCACTAGTTCATTTTTCATCTACGTCTCAATATATGTGAGCTCGCCAACACTGGTGTTTGAGAGCTACAATCCAGTAGGATTTGTGAGTTTTTGTTTATTGCTCACTTGCATTTCCAGCAGAAAAAAAATTCCAGAGCAGGGCTGGGCAGTCCTGAATCCTGAGAGCTGGCGTGTGGACGTTTTTAATTCCAGCTCCTCATCAGATTAATGGAAGTAATTTATCAGCTTCTCCAAGTATTCGGGTGCTGCAGTTTGCCGACATCTAAGAAACCTGCACCCTGGCCTTCCAAGACCAGGACTGCACACCCCTGAACTAGAAGGACAAAGGGGTATCTCAGTGTCTTAAACAAATTTACTTACTTTGCAAAAGGGCTCCAGTGCACTGTGTGTGAATAATTTACTGAAATGTCAACATGTGCTGGAGGAGAGTAAATACTGCACACGCCTAGGCTTTGCTCCATACTGCAGAGTACTTTTTAATAAGATGACCAAACACAGACGGTCTTTTACAATCAAAATGGTCAGAATCTGTTCCAGTTCATTTTAAACATTAGAGGAGTTCAGACTCTGCTTCAAGAGGCCAGGTTTTCAGGTCAAATGTACTTTAATAGACAGATGCATTTCAAAACATAGTAGCCGTGAGCTCTTTCTCTGCCTGGGGCGACACGTTCATGTTCTTCAGTCCAAAGACCAGATCGGTTATCTAAAGGAAAGTTCCAGGCGGGCTGAAGCCAGGAAGTTCTGTGGTTCCCCAGAGCTGAGGCCGATGATGCTGCCCTGCAGCTGTGTGTTTACAGTGGGGTAACAGCCTGTGTCGCCCCGCAGTGACACAAGTCTCAGTGGACGCAGCTGCTACACCTACTCAGTTTCCTCCTTTTCTGTAAGAGGCCAGGGTTCAGAGTTCAAAGGGCAGCTGTCCGGGGGCTTCTGCTCCCTGGGAAGGTCGTCTGCTGGGCGGCAGAGCAAGACAAGCCTCTGGGGAGGGAAGAGCAAGACAATACCAGAGGAGTTACAGATTGTCAGACCATTTTCCTGCGTCCTCAGGCTGCAGTCTGGACTTATAAAACTGAGGTAGGCAGTGACAGATCTCAGAGAAATACTCTACCAGACCCAGGTTACAGCATGATGCTGGGCTGAACAAGAACTGTAAATTGAAGACTGGGTCATAGAAAGTACTTCGATTTTTTTGGTTTTTGTAAACATTTAGTCACTTTTAATGTTTTAAATATTTTTTTAATCTAAGTAGTCAGCAATTTTATTTTGGTCTGAAAATGCAAGATCCTCATGAAATAATCAATCTACTGCATCAGCCTAGTGATGAGATGTAAAAAACCTGCTTAACTTTGGGGTGGTCCTCATTAAAAAAGTGGCAATGCAGTTAAAGAATGAACCTAGTATTCATTTGCAGTGTGACATGAACAAGAAGGAAGGGAGATGGCAGACCTGGTGCAGTGTCCCGGGAATTTGCCGGAGTTTATAAACCGTCCACAGTGGGATGCTGAGCATGGAGGAAAGGGCCAGCAGCCAGCCCAGGGCGTACCCCCAGTCTGGGTACACATAGGAGTTGTTGAACTTCAGGGGTGTGTACTTCACCAGGGAGAAGATAAAGGTACCCTGGGGACAGAGACGATAGGTGTGAGACAGGATCTCCGTATAGAGGGGACAGGTGTGAGACAGGAGCTCTGCGCACAGTGAACAGGTGTGAGACAGGAGCTCTGTGCAGAGAGGACAGGTGTGAGATAGGAGCTCTGTTCACAGAGGATAGGTGTGAGATAGGAGCTCTGTGCAGATGGGACAGGTGTGAGACAGGAGCTCTGCAGAGAGTACAGTTGAGAGACAGGAGCTCTGTGCAGAGGGGAGAGGGGAGAGAAAGGTGCAGGAGCTCTGTGCAGCTCTACGCTCCACTAGGGACACTCACTGTGCAGACGACCGGGGTGATGTAGAGCCAGCAGTACTTAATCAGAGGCCTGGGCCGATAGCCAATCATGTCCTCAATGTTGTCATAGAGACGGTCAGCACCTGCAGCAGACAAATACACTGACATCATGGCTGGGCCACTTGGACAGGACAGAAGCTGATGGTCTGAGTGTGGCAAAGCACAAGGATCACTGATGCAAGATTTCAAAACATACTCTTCTCCAAATGTACAGAAACCTGCAGGCTAATTTTGTCTGAGATCTGCCGAATCTGTCATGGAAACCTGTGTCATGGATCTAGAGGAGTGTGGCAGAGACCTCATGGCCCCTGAAATTACAAGCTTGGTACGCACCATACACCCAGCCAATAGCCAGAGACTGACAGACAGAGATAAAAAGGAGGACGAAGCCACTGCAGCTGTAAAAATCGAAGATCTGGAAGAGATACAAGCCACCCTGTGGAGAGAGAGCAGAAGAGTATCAGCATGGAGGAAGCACCTCTGTGACAGAATTCCAGGAGTGTGAAGTTGGGTTTTTAAGATTTGGAATTGTGTGATGCAAAAACACAAAATAGTTGTCATTTTCTTTTTTACAGTAGTTCAGTTTCGGCTGTGGAGCCTTCTTCAGGTGTCAAAAATGATTAGTTTTTTTAATGTCACATTTGTGCAGGTAGCAAGAACGCGCTGCGGCGCCCTCTGACCTCAGTGACCATGAGCAGGCCCAGCAGGAAGCAGGCCCCGCAGAGCAGCAGCAGGAGCAGCTGGCGCCCGTGCCCTCTCCGCAGCACCCCGGGGAACAGGTCCATGAGCCCCGCTGCCATCGTTTCCAGGTGCACAAACTGCAGGAATCATCAGGGAGGTCAGGCTCACGAGGGACAGGAATCACAGGACTCAGTTTTTAAAGTTCATGTTTCCTGTTGAGCTCATACTTGAATTTCACAGAGTTCACTGAATTTCAGCATATTTAATCTGTTCTCTGGAAAACAAAAGTCCACTGAGGAGCATTTTTGTTAAGATTCTTCTCTAAAAGGTATTTCGAACTGTAACTGGAGTTCAGCAGTCTTTGGGAGGCACACCCGGGTTCACTCTTGTACTGAAACAGCAGGCCCTGCCCCTCATGTCAGGATGTGCAGTTTTAGTGCTGGAGAAGCACTATACATGGTAGCAGCTTGTTCAAGCCTCTTTATGTTACTGATAAATTAACTGATAAATTGGATGAGGTTTCAATGCTGAAGACAATAAGCTTAGTTCGGCAGTTAAGAGGGTTTTAGGGCCCAACAGAGGACGAGAAGGGGTGTTGCTGCCGCAGCGGGGGGCACTCTTCCCTGCAGACCACTGGATGGCTGCTGTCTGACCTGACTGCCCACGCCCAGCACGATGACCGTCAGGAAGAAGCAGACGCTCCACAGCTGCGGGAGGGGCATCAGCGCCAGCGCTCGCGGGTACACGATGAAGGCCAGGCCGGGCCCTGTGCAGGCAAGCGGGACACAAGACGGGCTTGTTCAACAGATGGACCCAGACTGCTTGAGCAGAAAGTGTTACAAGGTCACAAAATTATAATGTCAGGATCCCAGTACTGCATTTGGATTTGGGTACTGAACTGCACAGACTGGACTAAAAGACAAAATATTGCTGCTCTACAAAGAATTTAGGAAACAGCATCCAGGATAATTGTGGGACTGGAAAATGAGTGTAACGCCCTTAAATAGAGGCAGCCCTCTCTCCATGTTACAGAGGAACACTGTCATTCAAGAATCTGATTTAGGGAACTGCAAGGGCAGTCAGACAAGAAGCATCAAAACTGGGTTAGGCTTTCACATGTTTGGAAGCTGGTTCCCCTGATAACCTTGTGCATGTTTGGGTGATCCATTTTTCTCCATGTTTCTAGAGTGTCATTATGCTGCACTCTGGTGGCCTAACCGAGTTTTGACACTTCAGATCCCACTGCTCTGTTATAGGAATTAACAAGCAAACACATCGAGATGAACGTTGTAAACTAGGACAAGGGGCAAAGACTGGAGTGAGGACAGGACATTGGGGTCACTTTTTACAGAGCTTCTGCTGTTTAGGGCAAACTAACCAAATTGTGGAAGACTATTTACTGACATTATTTAGAATCCACATTAATAAAGTGGCCAGATGGGTTAAACAGCCCCCCCTCTTCTCTAACCTCCCGTTCTCAAATATGAAGTCCCAGTCTTAGTGACACACAAGGACTTGCAGTTTTGGCTGTGGAGAGCTTGGACGAAGGATCCTCACCAGACTCAGCCACCTCCGAGATGTCCACCCCCTGCTCCTGGGCCATGAAGCCCAGCACCGAGAAGATGGCAAAACCGAAGACGAAACTGGTTCCACTGTTCAGGAGGCACAACCAGAAAGTGTCCCTGTGAGAAGAGATCAGCTTTTATTAGTTACATGTCAGACTGCTACCACAGCCCACAGGACGATGACCCAGGCGACCTGTGGCACTCACCTGTAGCAGTCATTGTTGTATCTGTTATAGCTGCTGAGGGTCTTTAGAATGCCCAGTGAAATGCCGTAGGAGAAGAAGATCTGTGTGCCTGCGTCCATCCACACCTAACAGATAAATAGTATTTTTAGCCCATGAATCAAGCAGTTGGAGGCACACACTGTGGTATTACAGACACTCTGTAGCATCATCATGTGCTGCGCCAAGTGATTAAATCAAACTCAGTTACTGTGTTACAGCTGCGTGCGATTGATCACGTGAAAATCATGCCATATGTCACTTCTTTTTGCTGCTTGGTCTGTCCCAGGAAGTTACCTGTGGGTCGGCGAGCCGGGCTGGGTCAGGGTAGAGGTAGAAGATGATGCCCCCAATGGCTCCAGGCAGGGTGAGTCCTCGGGCCAGCAGCACCACCAGCATCACATAGGGGAAAGTGGCTGTGAAGTACACCACCTGAGGGGGCAGGGCTCAATCGTAAAACAGCCTCGATCAGAAACATCTGAACTTTTTCAGCTCCACTTTGAACACAGTTATAAAAAAGTACAGGACAGCGTTGTTCATGTACAATTCCCAGCCGAGAGATTCATGCACTACAAACACACAATGAAACACAATTGTGGTTCCCCTGGGCTGTCTTTAAAACTGCTGCTCACCCTGCTGTACCAACTTAAACATCTGCTCCAACCACAGCCCCGTTAATACATGCACCCCCTCACCTTCCCAGTGGACTTCACTCCCTTCCACACACAGAAATAGCAGATGACCCAGGACAGCAGGAGACACAGGGCCAGCTCCCATCTCAGGCTGCCCACCTCATCAATCCCACCGGAGATAGCCAGCACCCTCCTCCTGCAGGCACCGGGACACAGCGCGACACTAGGATCTGGAATTTGTCAGAACGGCTTGGGACTGATACTGAGACCAGGTGCAACTTACTCCCAGAACTCCATCACGGGAGTGGTAGTGTTTCCAGGAAGAGAGGCGTTGGAGGAGTTGCTTCTGTTCTCCAGCTCCAGGCAGGAGTCTGCAGGAGGTAGAGAGGGGTGGGAGGAAACACAAGGGGAGTCACAGCTATTGGCACCTGTTGTACCGTAAAATGTACAAGCTGGCTGGTTTTGGTGCTTTTATGTATACTGTTCCTGCTGTGAAACACTGTGAGCTCCATACCTGTGTTCCAGGTGTTTCTGCAGCTGGCCCAGGGCAGCTCAGAGCTGAAGGAGGAGAACAGGTAGAAGAAGGCCCAGGCCAGGATGATGATGTAATAGATGGTGGCATAAGTTATAATCACTTGACTGGCATAGCCTACACCTGCAGAAAGACAAGGGTGGGAAAGGAACAGTGAGCTGTAGCAGTTTTATGAAGAAATAACAAAAGGACACGGCTAACATGGCCATTGGATTATCCAGTATCTAGAGCTAGGCAGCCCTGCAAAACAGGAAAGACTCCTGAGTCTTCCTGCAGTACTTTTAGGTTGTGTAAATGTCTTGTTTCATAGTTCTAGTGCTCCGAACAAGAGCAACACGTGGGAATCAATTAAGGACTGCAGTACTCCAATAGCTCTGCAGTTACCTGTCTCCTGGGTTGTGGGGTTTATTTACCTTCAAACAGGGGGCAGGTCTTCCTCCAGCAAGTAATAATTCCCTGGCTGGTGTACTGCCCCATAGCCGTCTCCAGCAGGAACAGGGGGATCCCACAGGTAAACAGGAACAGGACGTAGGGAATGAAGAAAGCGCCTGTGCGAAGGAAAATGAAAATAAATAATTCTAGTTTTGATATGACTTTAACTGCCCCTTTTCGCCTATTTCAAGAACTTCATATTATTCAAAACATCCATCCATTAATTTTGTAGCTGCCTCATCCAGTTCAGACTCACAGAGCGTACCGGAGCCTGTCCCAGCAAGAAACGGACACGAGGCAGGATACACCCTGGATGGAACGCCAGTCCATCGCATGGCGCACACAGACACAAACACACTCACACCAGAGCCAATTTCCCCAAGAACAAGTTAACCTACCAGTATGTTTTGGACTATGGGAGGAGACTGGAGTATCCAGAGGGAACCCATGTGAGCATGGGGAGAACATACAAATGCCACTCCGGTAGCACCTCAGGTCTGGAACTGAACCCATGACCACAGAGCTGTACCTCCCTCATGTTTGAAATGTACTGTAGCTAGAACTTAATTATGTAATGAATGATTGACTTTATGAATGAATCACAACAGTTAAGCACTAGTGGAAGAAAGAAATAATGCCATAAATGACAAATGAAATGCAATTAAAAATTTCAAGACATTTTTTATTGTTACATATTGTTTGTATGTTTTGTTTGAGTAATATGAAAACTAGACTTTTCAACAAGTGGTAAAGGAGCTGGTTTCCTAATTCTCTGAGGGAGATACCTTCACCCCTGTGTCCCCAGATCCAATATGCTCTCAGAGTTCAAATGTTTATCATACAGACAAACACAGCCACGCCAAGCAGATAGTGCAGCAGTTTACACATTAATACCCCTGTCACACTGCTCCAGTTGTTACTTTGGACAGATTCTCTGCATATGCAGTTCTGCTGCAAAATACAGGCCAGTTTTCCATGGCAATGAAGGGGAATGAGTGTTTGGAAAATACAGCAGATTTAAAAAACAGGATGCCCTACATAATCTAATTTAAAAATGTACATATTCACATGGATAGCTAAGAAATAAGACAGTATAATTCACCTCCTCCGTTTTTGTAGCACAGGTAGGGGAACCTCCACATGTTTGCCAGCCCAACAATGGATCCAGCAACAGCCAAGATGAACTCCCACTTGTTTGCCCACTGGCCCCTCTCCTGGATCTTCTGTCCCTTCTGCTTCAGTCTGCTCCCCTGGACTGGGGGCTCACACAGGGCTCCTGTCTGAAGATCCCCGGCCATCCCAACCACAGCCAGAGCAGCTCATACAATGAAGCGAGTGAGCTGTCCGCTGGAGTCTGGGAGGAACACACGCAGAACTCCACTCGCTCCGCCTCTCACCAATTCCCAATCGGAGCCTTTCGCTCCAGGTGAACTGTGACCTACAGAGGCCAGAAACTAAGGCATTTGGTGAAAATCTGTAGGACAGCAGTCATTTGTTCCATGCATGTGTTTTTTTAGTACTTTTATACGAATGTTAGAGATTGCAGTCTCCGACTGAGCCTGGCAACATTCTAGCCAGATTTGAGTCTGTACCCTGCAGAGCTGTGCCAGAGGGCTGGTTCACAGGGTAAGGGCAGTGCACCACAAAGCAGTGACCCTGCTTCGACACAGCACACAAAAACACAGGGAAAAAAAAAAAACAGACAAAAATAGTGAGAGACACACTAAAAACATCAGGAGCTGAATATCAATACCATTCTAAATATATTAACAGAAGTACTGGCTTGCTATGGAAATATGCAGTGATAAAAAGGAAAACTGAAACCACTGAGGTGCTTCCATTGCCTGTTCTGGTAGCCTCACAGACAACCACGGAGTCGAGACATTTCCCCGATACCGGCTGGTGTCGTCAGTGCACTGAATCCCAGTCATTACCTTCTCCTTGTGCCGTTGGACACTTCAGCAGGATTGGCAGCTGCGCTTGTCTCCGAGGACCAAAACACCCAAACTGCTGTAACTGTGACTCAAGCAAGGCTAGATCACAGCCCAGTTACAAATTTGCCTTTAGAGATAAGAGTGCAAGAATCCCTTTTCACTGCATTCAGGTGACTGGCCCTCTTAACTGACAACCTGAGTCTTGTGCTCACTATGTTGATGACATGGTTCTAGCAGGGACTCAGGAACTGGCGTGATGGAATTGCTTTGCCAGCCGTCGGAATAGTTTTTGGCCTTTTCTGTTTTTGCAAACACTGACTCAGCTCTCAAGAGCATTTCCCAGGACAGGTGAGTAGGCATCTCCCTCCCCCAGGTGGCAATGCAGGCTTGCTGCATTCACTGAGGCATTCCAGAGTTTCTAGGAGCCTAAACAAACAAGTTAATTTCTTTCATGCTATTGGTTTTTTGCACGCTGTACTGAGTTAGAAAAAAACAATCACACAATGTTTTAAAAAAACTGCAAAACATTTATTTCAATTTGTGATTGAGATTCAAAATAATTCAAGATTCAGAAAAGTCATATTCCACTAGACGGCGCACGACTCCACACTCAGTAGGAACGCTGAGATTGCGAAGGAGTATTGGGGACCCCTCCCTGCTGATGGCACCTTGAAGAAGCAGCTCTTCTGAATAACAGGCAGACTATCGGCCGTGCAGAGTGTGCGCGTCTCAGCTTGGCAGGGAGGTCTTTAAGATTTTGATGTCGTCCACCGGTCTGTCCTGCGTGTTGGTCTCCACCATGCCGACGCGGCTGACGACGGAGATGCCCTGGCACACGCGCCCGAAGATGCTGTGCTTCCCATCCAGCCACTGTGTTGGTGCCAGCGTCAGGAAGAACTGGCTCCCGTTGGTGTCCGGCCCGGCGTTTGCCATCGCCAAAATCCCAGCTCCTAAATCCATACAAAATCAAGGAATTTCTGTCGGATTGCCATTATGTCATCTTTTCAGATTCGGTGTTATACTGAGAAAAACAAAGCTTCCTCTGCCCCCAAACAAATGGAAAAGATACCAATATACACTTCCTTTTGAAAAAGTAAAAGCATGTAGTAGCAAGATAAATGTGCTTCTCAACCCACATGTTTATTGGAATTAGACTGATGATAATGCCTTCATGTATATCACAATCAAATTTCAGTTGGTCAATACAAGACAAATAAAATAATTTGACAGAGGAATTAAATTACCTGTGAATTTCAATTCAGGATGCAGTTCATCTTCAAACTGTTTGCCATAAATGGAGGCTCCTCCTCGCCCTGTAATGGGTAATGCACAGTTATCATGAGAAAAGAGCCATGTCAGAGCTACAGCCCCAGGGGTATGCTGCTCAGAGCTATAAACCCTGACAGGATTCTCATTGGGCATTTGATGAGACAACACTATGTTTGTACAATAAGCCTTTAGAATAGTTTATTAAGGTTCAGAATAAATTTTGGGGACTTTAGTATCTTATTTTTATATATAATTTTCCATCTGGCTACTTACTCAAATTTGTTCCATGTTTATGGAAGGTCCTATACTGTAGTTTCACTATTACCTTACATAAAGATGACAATTTTTATTTGTCTTTTTACTTAACAAAAAATTGGTACAGAAATAACTGGTACTACCGCAACTAAACAGTTTTCAAAACAATATTCTTACACAGTATAAACCTATTAGGAAGAGTCTCCTGCTTTACTGGATCTCTGATAACCCTTTACACTGAGAAACAGTAGAGCCGGGAAACTCACCCTCAAAACTCACACTTACTGGAAACTTGCTTCTATTCCGCCTGAGCTTTTCATAACTTTGGTCAATCAATTGCTTTTTTGCATGGTATCACGTGATTTCAAGTGACACCATGCAAGTGATTTCACAGGACACCTTTCTAATGATCACTATCTTGCACTTCTTAAAGTTAACTAAGATAGTTGGCATCTGTAAAACCTCCAGTTATGTTAATCTTTGCAACACAGAGAATACTGAATATGTTTTGTCGCCCTGTTCAACACACTTAAACTCAAGAAACACGTCAGGGGGAACTATGGAGAAATTTAACGAAGTTTATGGCAACTAGTCTCAGAGCCTTAGCTCTTTAGAAGTGGACGTTCCCAGCTGGGCTGCGGGTGTCCGTAAAGAGCACTGGTCCAGACCCCACCCAATCTCTCCCAGCACCTCTCTGCAGACCGTATCGGGGAGTCCGTACACACTCGCCTGTACCAGTCGGGTCTCCGCCCTGGATCATAAAGTCTTTGATGATCCGGTGAAACTTGGTACCGTTGTAGTAGCCCCTCCGAGCCAGCTCAGCGAAGTTCTTACAGGTTTTGGGGGCGTGTTTCCAGTACAGCTCCACCACGATCGTCCCCATTCTGCAGGAAAACAACGTGATACGGACTACAGCAAACCTACACCGCGCCTTTCCGATACCAAAATCGCTCAATCATGCGAGCCTATGCCATTAAGTCTCCCCCAGTATGTTTTTTTTATTAATACTGCAATATTTAATGATAATAAGAAAATATGTATTTTAGCATGGATGGTCATCCAATTTTAATAAGAGACTATAAACTGACAGTTATAGATTATTGGTAGCCCGTTCATATAGCGCAAACAGACAGTGCCACTTTTTAACCAAATCAGGCATGTAGTAGTCCATGATAGAATCCATTTAAATTTCAGCGACAACAGGATTAGAATTATTCTATCTCCTGCAACACCTACGTTGTCTCCAGGCAGACTGTCGGGGGCTGCCACGAATCTGGCGGAATACCTGACATCCTTCTTTCAGGAGAGCGTTGTAGAAGAACACAAGAGTAAAGACAAACTCATTCGAACACAAACTTCCCACACTTCCTGTCTCGGGGGTCCGACTGAAACCCTGTCCGAATGGAAACAACACAAATCGCAGCCAACAAGTTCCGGTAGTTTCTGATACAAGCCGAAAACAGTGTATAAGCCCCAAAAGACAACGTTTTTAATAGATTGTATCGATACTTTGTGTACTGGCAGATATATCGCATTTCTGATTGGCATTTCATTTTAGATTTTCAGCAATACCGCTTGGAAGCTACAGGAGTTGCCAGCCGTTGGGAGTGTGGCGTCACTACTGCCCTCGTCCAATCAGGAAACAGAGTTACAAAATTCAAACGTCAAGAGAAACAAAACGACAGCACGAGCTAGAACGGACTGTTATATTTTAAATTTCTTTACCTTTTAAAAAATAATCTTATTTGAAAACGTGCGCGTTTTTTAAATAGTTTATTACGGCTGCTGGATTACTTATTCGCTTTATCTGATGTTAAAGCAGGTGTAGCTGTGTTGTACATGTCATTGTGGCCGACTTTGTTTATTAATTGTGTGGTGCTGGTGACAGACTGGGCATTAGTAGATGAAGAAGGGTCACAACAGAGGGGAAAATAATCAAATATCAGCACGTAGGTAATAATAATTCCATATTAAATACCCAAATGTTTTCGTTTAAATGAAGTTCATTTCGATCGGATTGTCTTTAGCTTTGGTTATGTGGAAATTAATAAGGTAGTTAATGAAGTTAACCGAATTGTATTGTTTTGTTTTTATAGGTTCACATACCGATTAATTGCTCGGTAGGATGGATCATACAGGTGAAGGTATCATCGTATTAAGTATATTTTATGGAACTGTCTTTTCTAAAGCTTTTCCTTTTACAAACATATTTCACTTTAAACACGAAAATTTCATGAAAGTCTGGATAATTCATACGTTTGACTAAATTACTTAATTTATGACTCGATAACCTATTAAATAAAATACTGATTACATATAAATGCAAACCTTCATATATAGAAGCATTAACGAAACTACGTATAATAATATTGTTCATTATTACAATTATTAATTGTAAGGTGACTTTCTATTGCTTTGAAACTAATCACCCAATCATTTGGGTTTTACATGTTTTTACAAAACATGTAAAACCCAAATGATTAAATTGGTCGTAAAATGGACGATGTTGCTTGTCTTTCAGATGTTTGTTTTATAACGGAAGAGACGTTCGACTTCGGCATAGACTCGCCTTCAGACAGGTACTGGTTGTCCTGGTTTTAAAACTTCACACGTTTCTAAAGAGCACTGCCAGGCTCTTACGGGCAGGCAGTGCTCGCAGACGGCTGCGTGTTTGAGCTCTGGTGACCTGGCTTGACCAGGCGCTTGCTGTACGTGCTGGGATGATGTAGTCTACCTCAGAGTGCACAGAAGTCTGCTCCACCCCAGCTTTTCCAGGCACTAAGGCTGTGGAGAGGGCCAGATACAGTAACTACATATTTAGTAGCATAGCTGCATGTCAGTCTGCACGTGTTGACTGAAAAAGACATGTCCACCATGTTGGCTGTATACAGTATGTACTATATTTCCTTTTTCAGTATGCGAGTATATATCTCCATCTTCTATGCAGTCTGCTTACTGCACATTAATTACACTCACTTGTGAAGTCTAGTGCTTCTTTGTGCAAACGTGAGGAGGGTGTCTGCACTATTAAGAAGCGGTAGTTATATTTTGGCAGTGCAGTTCGCCGGTCTTGATTGGAGCAGTTGTGCCATGGGACTGTGCTCACGTGCTGTCTGTGTGCCTTGCAGTCGGGAGCTCTGCGACTCCATCATGGCCGAGGAAGAGGAGGTTTTTGTGGGCCCTGTACGGCACGTTGAGAGATGTGTTGCCAAGAGCATTGACCTCAACGTTCAGGGGGCAAGGGAGAGCCAGAGAGCGGGGGGCTGGGGGAGCAAGGCGGGAGGCGATGGGGGGCTGCTGAACTGGAGCCCGCTGAGTGCGGAGAAACTGGAGGAGATCTCCCGCGAGGCCAACCGCCTGGCCAGCCAGCTGGAGAGAACCGTGCTGAAGGAGAACGCCGGGGACAGGTGCCAGGAGTCGCCCCGCGTGCGGGCGCTGAGAGACAGGCAGGAACCGCGCCGGAGCCCGCGCAGGGAGACCTATATCGTGAAGGACAGCCCAGTGAAGTCCCTCCTTCCCTCCGTCGTGCCCGAGAGTGGGTGTCCATCACCGCGCCCGGATGCTGAAGGGAAGACCCCGGCTGCGAAGCGGAGGAGTAGGCGGACTCCCGGCAGAGCAGCCAGGACAGCGCCAGCTCAGACTGTGGCCTCCCCAGGGCCCGGGGTCCTGCCACGCTGTGAGGGGGGGTCTCCTGCCATGAGCGTCCCTTCATCCTCCTGCAGCCTGCAGCCCACCAGTCCCAGCGTCCCGTCCCCAACACAGCAGGCAAAGAGGCACAGCACCCGCTCACCCGCATTCATCAGGCTCCCTGCGGGGGACAAACAGCTTCCTCAGTCCGGCACGCCCTCGAGGACGGGCAAAGCGGCAGATAGCAAGACTGCCAGGCAGACGGTGCCCTCGCCCTTGGCCCAGGACAGTAAGAACTCCCTGAGCAAGTCCAGTGTGAGCTGCCCATCATCTGCCAAACCTTCGCCTGGGAGAAAAACAAAGTCCAGCACGCCCTCCCACTCCCTGCCTCACCGTGGCCACCTGCCGCCAGCTCGCCAGGTATGGTCCTGCACGTGCCCCGGGCTTCCCTGCACACCAGTAACACTCCGACTGCTAAACAGACTGATAATATGATTATCATATCATTGGTAGTTTTGTAATCTTAATATAGAGATATGGAATTAAATTTTGTGTAAGCCATAGCAAAGTGAAAACAACACTTCATAGCACGTTTTAAGCCTTTTTCCCCATTTACTGCAGGAAAGACTGAAACGCTCAGTGGCAGATTCAAAGGGTGTAGGCTCCCCTTCCCAGAAGGCCCCTTTGGTGCCTGGAGTGGCTGTCGGCACAGAGAGAATCACACCCTCAGGTAGTAACATCTAACCCTTTCATTGCTTGCAGTCTTGTGTTTCAAGGACACAGCTGTTTATTGGAGGAAGCACACCACCTTTTCTTTTTTTAAAAATGAAAAAAGTTCCATATGTTACAAACCACAAAGTTTCAAATACTGCAGAACCACTAGGTCTTACTGCACGGGCTCCGCAGCACCAGAGCTGGAGCATGCTGGCATACAGGGACTCTGAGAGCAGCTGATATTTTAGATTTGCAAGGTCAGCCTGTTCTTCACTTTGAATGTTTTGCTAATGTTGCTCTTGCCAGTTGGACTGAAGTGTTAGCGTGTACAGGGAGAATAAGATCTTAGATCAAAGGCGCAGTGGTGGAGATGCTGAGCTTGCAGCTGTCTCAGTGATGCGTCTCTCACTTCTCACTGTGTACCTCTGTACAGGGAGATGCCACAAATCGGAGTCGACCCGCTCTGACCTCCCCGCCTGCTCTAGAGAGTCCCAGGACACCCGAGGCTCTTGTCAGAAGCTGGGCCAGAAAGGAACGGGTATTCCTGCACCCACAGCCAGACTGGCATCTCAATCCGCCATACCCAAACCCACCAGCAGGGCGGCCACACTGGGAGGGTGTAAACCATTGCCATCTCCCAGCCGTGGTGGCCCTCGTGTAGGGGCACCCCCGCGAATGGGGTCCCAGTCCCTACACACTGCTGAACAGAAAGGTGAGTCTGAGCAGGGGGAGTTCCCCGTCCTGCTACATGATGGACTCCCAATCGCACAGCTTGCAGGAACCCTGCAGTGTATTCTGTTCCCTGCGTGTAAGTGCTGCAGGAAGACAGTGCTTCTCATGTGTGCCCTGTGTTTCAGGCCTTTCTTCCCGGCCATCCCAGCTCCCAGCCTATGTCAGCCGGAGCCGCCTACTCTCGCAGAAGAGTGTCAGGGGCCACAGCAACAGGTGAGCCTGGCTTCAGGGGTCAGACGGTCAAGTGCCAGAGAGGACTGGGCACAAAAAACAGTTATTCACAGTAGTGGTAGTAGACTACCTTTTCAGTTCATCCTGGACTGAGACTCACAGAGTAGAAGAAGGGGAAACCAGACTCGTTTGTCTCCCACCACTGACACTGCTGTGGCTTTGCCCTTTATTTTCCAGTACTTGTAGAGGACTGTTACTCCAGTGCAAGCAGAGAGGAAGTATCAGTGTAGTACAGAGAAGCAAGAGCTTAGAGTGTGTCTCGCTGAGTCAGAGGTCACTGGTAGTTCTGCACTGAGGAGAGACCACAAGGTTGGTTGTGAAGATCCTAAACTGTGTTTTACAGAACAGTTCGATATCACACTGTAGAGGAGGCCACTGTGAACTGGGGGAGTTGAGCCATGTGGTGGAGTGGTTAGCGCTCTGGACAGGTGTGGGTTCATCTCCTTTAAGCAAGGCACTTCTCTCAGATCTGTATAAGTGGGCATTGCGTGTCAAAGCATCTGCCCAGTCTTTAATAAGTAGATATAGGATAATAAGTTAAATATAGTAGATTATAATGGTCACACAATACTAAACAGGGAAAAGGTTAATCATGTGTTTAACTTAAATGTAATCTTTTGGCAGTCGCATTCCATTCAAACACTGCAAACAGTTTTTCCCAATTATTGTTGAAATTTAATGTCTTTTTATTTATTGCAATTTTTGTTTTTCAGCTGACTTTCCTGTGTTGTGCTGAGCTGCCTTCTCCCCATCTCAAGCCTTGGTGGAGCTGGTCTGTAATGACAGCCAGTAGGCTGGACTGATGTCTGTGGGTACGATTCTTGTTTAGGTTCCTGGCCTCTCAGATGTCTGAGGATGCAGCTGTAATGATTGCAGAGAATGTGGATCCTAAACTGGAAGTTTCAGACACTTGAAAGTTGGGGGGAAAAAGACACTCTTTTTATTCTTAAAGCAGTAATTCAGAACAGAGGGGAAGTAATTCTTAGGGGCTTTCCAGAGCCGACATTTGAAACATTTGTGTGCAACATTTTGCTTTTATTTTGACGCACAGTCTAAAGAAAAGGTCAGCCTTTTCTTTAAAACATGCTTTTTGAACAATATGTAGTTTTACTTTGTAAATATATTGTAATATTTTTGTCACTTACCTATAGTTTTATACCCTGCTGCTTAATTTATCCGAAGTGTTTGAGCCGTTATAAAAATGTACATTTTAGTTTTCTGTTTCTATGTAAATATGTGTGTATATATTTCGCAATAACACTACAGGGGGTTTCAGAGTTTTACTGTTGCAGTCCCATGATGTTCCCAGATCCTCATCTGATAGTTCCTCATTCACTGCCCCTCCCCTTTGCAGCAACACTAAACGCGGACTCGTTTGTGCTGTTTACCATGCTTCTACCATGTTTACATTAAGATTTCCATCATTTGTACCATACCAGATTTTGTGCTTTACTGCACTTTTTTCCTCTGTCCCCTGCATCAAGAAAGCAGGAAGGTGTGGCACACAGGGAGCTGATTTTAAAGGATCATTTGCACCTCAATAAAGAGGCAAGCCCTACAACAGTACTGCAACCTCATTGCAGGCCATAAAAAGAAAACTTTTTACTGCTAAAAACATAGAATTTAGAGATTGTAAGTGATTGTTTACTGTCTTACAGTGTGATGTGTGAGAGTCTATACTGCATGTTTGACTGTCCCTTTAAAAGATTTGCTAGGGTCCCCATGTGGGTCTTCTGTGCATCTAAAGCAGGATCTGTATCTTGGATTGCTGCAGGAGGAATGGTAGTCGTTGTGGAAAATAATAACACCTGGCTACAGCTTGGGCTCCAAACTCCTGACGTTTATTTTCCTAAAAAGCACCTGTGGGTAAGAACTCCTGTGCCCAATAATAAATAAAGATGACCTGCTTAAAAGCAAACATTGGATACCTACATTCTGTTCTGTCAAACTAGGGTAACAGCTCTGTCAGAAAGGAATGGTGGCTAAACACATTTGTGTAACAATCTAATTCAAAATATATAGATACATTTGTCTAACACTGTCTCCAAATGTACAAATTAGAAGCATTTTGGAAAAGAGAGAAGTGTAACAAAAATACAGCCAGATACACTGATCTATGGTACTGCAATTGCCAAAGCAAAATGTCAGGGTGAAATGAGGCCTGGGGTGACTAGTCTTTGGTAAACCATCACTAATCCCTTGTGAAGCCGGGCCCATGGCCTGGTGTTGATTTCTGTGGGCCAGAAACAGCTGTTCACAGTTTCATACAGGAGGTGTATGATAGAGCTCCCTGTCCACAGGACAGCACTGCTGCTATGTACTGCAGTTGCTTTGAAATGGGTGCTTAGCAGAACAGACTGATGCTTCATTGTCGGGGTTAGTAAAAACAAACCTTTTTTCCAGTTTTCTTTAACAGGAATGTGAACTGTTACTACAGACAACTCAGTTTATTAGGGAAGTCATGAGAATGTAATTTTCAGCAACCAGTTCTGCAGGTTGAATTTTAAATTAGTACTTATAAAAAAAGTATAATGTGTGTATATGTGCACACATTTGCAGACCTAACTTTTCCTGCTTTGGTAATTGTACTTTCTCTCTCTTATGGACCCATCTGAAAAACAGCATTAAAGAAAACCTGGGAGACCAGTGTGCCCTCATTGGTGTGGGTCAGGCTGTTACCTAGGTAAACTACAGTTAAATCAGAAAACTACAATATGTACATAAGAAAACAATTATGTACAGCTTCACAGTTAGTAAATCAGTCAGGAAGTCCAGCATTTTTAATGGCCTTTTCATCTAAATCAGACACTCTCTGCTGAACACAGCAGTGTCCCCTGTCTGTTACAGACCCGCCAGCCTGGGACGTATAAATGGAAATAGATGTATCAGAATATTCAGATAAAAAAAAAAAGGAGAGAGACTTTAGGCTGTAATGCACTATGTGATTTTGTTGGCATGGCACCATTCTCACTGCGCCAGAAAAATGTCCCATTGTATTTACATTGTACAAATGTAAATGTCAAGCTAAGGAACGACATATTTAATTGAATTCACAGTGCGCTTGCTGCACTTAGCTCTGGACTGGTACCTTGGCATGGCTTTCTAAATATTTAAAAATAGTTCATCACCACCTTACTCCTTTTTCTGATAAACTGCAAAACAGGTCTTCTGGGGGGAAATGTACTTGATGTATTCCAAGCTAGCTGCCAGTGGCTTCACCCGGTTATGGCTTTCGTGTGTGTTTCCCAGTGGGGGCCAGTCTGTAAGGAGCAGACTGCTGTGGAATGCAGGGGTGTTTACAGCATGTTTTAAATTCATACAGCATACATTTTTACACAAGGAACTCGCAAAGCTATACAATATGAACAGGTCCTTTCACAAAATCTTAGCCAGCAGAGTATATCCCCTGTTTAAATAAAAAAAGTCATCCTTTGAGCAAAATATGGACTTAGGTCTTAATTCATTTCACTTTTCTTCCCAAAGTCTGTAACAACAATTATAAAATTACCTCTAAACAACAGAAATATAGAAAATCAGTGTTGTAATCAGGCATCCAGCAGAGGACAGGCGACCTCTAGTGCTCGACGCAGCAAAGGCCACACGACCTCTTAGACACGGTGCAGCAGAGGCCACGCTTTTTTACAGAATTCTTCCAGTGAAAAATACAAAACGAAGGCTAAGTGGTTGAAGGCAGCTTTTCCCACATGTGCTCAATGTGGATGAGGGAGCACAGCTCTTGTCCGGCGGAGCTGCGTCAAGGGATTTACAGTAGCAGAGGCCAGTACCCTCTGCCAGGTAATCCCACAGCAGGGAGGGACGAGTGGAGCGCTGTGCACTAGGCCAGCCTGCGCGTGCTTCTGGCTCGAAGTTCTCGAGTCACTGCTTCAGCACAATGACTCCGAAACCATTTGCTTCTACCTGTATTGCTTTCGCGTGTTGCTCTGCCAATTGAGGCTAAGGAAATATTCCTTAATATTTAAAAATAAAACAAAGCAACTTCTTCCCTTGTTTCCCTTCCCGACTGTTTCCTTAAGACTTACTCAGTTCTGCAGAAGAGCACTGTTTTTCAGGAACAGTGACAAGGTTCCAGTGACGTCATATGCTTGTGCATAGATACCTCCCTTCCTCCAGGAGGCGCAGTTGCTGAATTGAGGCTGTTTCATGCATTAGGAGCAGAGGGCTGGCTGGGTGCTGGGCTGAAAACTAAGATCTGGCGCTCAGGAAAGCCAGAGTCCTGGACGATGAAACACACTGGCACTCAGCCGAGCAAGCTGCCAGCTGCTCTGCTGACCTGGATCTTGCAGTCTTGCAAGAATGAAATAAAAACACATTTGTGCTCTCCTTTAAAAGAAAAAAAAACAGCCTCTTAACATGCACAGTAGTACAGCACAAAAACAAAAAATCCCTGAAGGCTTATAATCTTGAAGTCAAAAGACCTGGCAAGTGGTTTGAAAAAGTCTTATTCTTTAAGTCTTTTTAAAAATAAAAAGATACCAAAAATGTACAGCGCACTGGGCATGTCCAAGCCAATTAGAATAAACAGCAAAAAAGTGCATCCATTCAAGTATTTATACAGACACATAGAGAAAAGCATCCTCTGGGCACAATTGTACAGTCCAGTGTAAACCCAAGCTGGGGGTGATTTGGCACCGATTTGATACGTGAAACTGGAGCAGAAGAGGAGCAATTGCAGTCAGGAGGAATAGCAGGGACAGGGAAGCCGTTTGGAATGTCTCTAGGCTGAGTCTGCCAGTGACACACTCCCTAGCAGGGAAGCTGGGACCTGAACATGACTATCCAGCTCTTCTTGTGCTGCCCCAATCCCAGTCTTTTTATCCCGGGTCAGATTGAGGTCTCGTCACTGCTGCTCGGAGGACAGGAGGGTTGGGGAGGCGAAACAAACGAAACAAGGAAAAAAACAACAGAAAACAATGCATGGTCATGATTCAAATGCTGACTCTGCGAGATGAGAGAAAAGAAGATGTGCGCTTCAGAAATCTGGTCTTTACGACAGAAAGCAAAAGCGCGAGGATGCATAATGCATTGCTGGTTGGAGAGTGAGGCTTTTTCAAATTATCTGAGTAGTTTTTGGGATGTGCATCAAAATGCATTAATGGAGAAAATTAAAGAATAAGAATCTGTGAATTTTGGAGAGAAGACAGAAGGGGAAGGGAAAAGGCAAGTTAGTTCAGAATCTGAGACAGAAACAGTAGCCAGATCATATTTTCAGAGGAGGGCGAGCATTTAAACCTATTTATTAAAGAAATAGGTTAAAAAACAGTGATTGCACTGAAAGGCTGCTGAAGGCTGAAGAGGCAACTACCGGCATGCAAACAATGAATGGCTCTTATCTACAATAAGATTACTAGGCTGTTATTTCCGATTAGCTGCCGCAACACACATGCTTAACACCTGTATGCTTAAACCTGGAGAGCAGATGTCAGATGTAGCAGGCTACAACAAAAAGCTGCTGTAACCACCCCTGACCACTGGAGGGCGACAGAGTTAGCATGTTAAATCCACACATTGTTCAGACACTGCACCAGCCAGGCAATAGACGCACAGGGAAGGGTATTGGTGGGGTGGTATTGGAAACAACAGGACAAGACATTAAGGGAAGGTAGGGTTGGGGCAGAGGGCAGCCTTGTAAAAAATGAGAACATCTGGAACAGCTGCAACAGGGCGGAGCTCAATAGGTCAGCGGCCTTGAAAAAACACAAAGCCAATCCAGCCAAAAAAATGTATAGAAAAAAAAACTGCAAAAGGACAGATATTGCCTTTATGTTTTTAAAACAAAGCGTTTCTTCTCCCGGGGCCCCAAGGCAGCAGGGCTGCAAGCCGGGCAAGGCTGGGCAGTTTGAGCCAGGTGGGCCGTTACTCACTCGGAGCCAGACGAGTCCTCGTCCACCGTGCCGGCCTTGATACTCATGGCGATGGGCGCGACGCCGTTGAGCTGCTCCTGCAGGCTGGGCTTGGGCCGCGATGCCCAGCCGCCCTCGCTGGAGGAGGAGCCCGGGCCGGACCGGGGGCCGGACAGCTCGTTGTGGATGCGGTTGATGTTGTTCTTCTCTGCGATGGGAGGCAGCGGCTTCTTCTTCAGGATGCCTGCAGGGGGAAAGAGTGATTGGCCCTCAGGTACCAGCCAGAGACGAGGGCAGACGCGCGTGCAAGCCACTGGGAAACAGAAATGACCTGGGGGTATGCTTGAAGGTGTAACCATCCATGCTCATGTGGAGATGAGATCTGAAACAACTCCCATTAACAAGAGGGGCATTTTATCTTAAAATGAGCTCCCACAATAATTCAGCAGCTCATACAGCACAAAGACCTGGCTCAGGGACACACATGAGCCTTTTGCATGAGTGTCTGTTTCTCACCCAACAAGAGGCACAGGGCCTTACTGCCTCACCTTGCTTAATGCCTGGTGAATGGCCAGTTATGAGTAATCTTTACCTTGCAGTCTCGCAGCCTGTACTGATACTGGATCAGCCATGATTCCTCTGGGCTGTACCACTCGACACTGTAAACCATGAGCCATAGACCTGACGACGTCTCTGATTGTCTGCTCTCACC